AATCACTTTAGGCTGTAGAAGTTTCTGATGAGATTCTTAAAATCAAACGAGAAATTGAAGTGGAACTCTTTGGTGAAGATCAGAACTGGAGTCGTGGAGAAAGCAATGTAAGCTCTAAGTGCACTTTTGCTTTTCAATAGTCTTATTTTGGTAGCAAATAACCTTCTTGATAAAGTTCCTGTATTTCCAAATCTTACTGCCAAGGAATCATTCTTTGATAACACTTGTATATTTTCTTAACTTTTGCTAGCTGCCGAATCAGATTCAGACTCGTTACTCTGAACCTGACAATCGTGATTGGCGTAATCGTTCAGAACAGTTTCCTTCAACTGGAGAGGAGAGGTCTTGGGAATCACTTCGGGATAGAGAATCGGGGAACCGATATGAATCTAATCGTCAAGATCAACTCAACTCTCAGTTCTCAAGGGCTCAAGTCTCTTCTAACCAAGGAGTAATTCTTTTCAAATGAGACCCTCTTTGTCTATATAAGATTTCCTTTGTCTTCATCTTCTTATTGTTTGTCTTGACTCTTGACTGCTTGCTACTTTTTTGTGGAGTTGTTGGGTGGGTATTCAAGGCACTTTGTGATGGGTTTCACAGTCAATTTAACTTTCTATAGGTGAATTTACATTGGACGTTAGTGCTGGCATTGGCAGTTGTGCTCCACTTAACAGCTTGACCTTTATGTATTTAGGTCTATCAGAAAACAACGGTTCAATCAGTTCTCAAGTTATTTTAAAAATGGTTTATGTATAATAATTAGATGGGTCAACAGACTTGGTAACTATGCATTTAGGATTTTCTTTTATTCTGTTTATTAACTCATCTGCTCATTTTCATTGCATTATTTTCAATTTTCCCAAAGTGATAGCATTCTAGGAACTATGCCACTTATGGTCTCTTCATATTAGCTTCTTTGTATTCATTCTGTTATTGTAAGAACCATGTTTACCCCTCTAGCAATCTGTCTGTAATTCAAATTTGGCATTAAGATTCTGTTTCCTTTGTTGAACCAGGGAGGACCAGCTCCAGCGTTGGTTAGGGCGGAGTTGCCATGGTCAGTGAGAAGGGGAGCTCTTTCCGAGAAAGAGCATGTTCTAAAGACTGTGAAAGGGTAAATATATTAAATATATTTCTTGCATCTTGCAAGTCATTGATTTCTGTGAAGATAAACCATAAAAGGAGGTTTCTTGCATTACATATTTATCTCTGATTCCTATTGATAAACCATAAAGTAGACCTTGCTTTCATTTATCTTATTATTCACTGTTCTAGTTTTAAATTTAACACAATGGCAACCTAATAGTATTTGTAGCAAACACACATTGTAGTGTGTTATATTACTGAAACAAGGCATTTCCATGAATGTCGTTGGAATCTGCTATGGTCTAGTTGAGTTCTTGAATTCCAAGTTCAATAGTGTTCAGAGTGGCTGGTGTTAGAACTTTTAATTTTTGTTGCTGCTGAACTTGGGATGCTTTCATTCTGACAAAATTTGACAATAGTGTCAAATGCATTTTTTTTCATAAAGAGTCAAATGCAAATGTACCTTATGAATTATGATTACTACAGTTCATGCTGCCACGTCTTCCATTAAAAAAAACTTACAAGCTTGCTTAAGTGGTTTTGATTTTGTTGAGTTTAATCCTTCATCTGCAACTAATTCATAATTTTAGCAATGAATTACTGCTATTTCTGAATGGCTGTGTTATATGTGCAGAATACTGAACAAATTGACTCCTGAGAAGTATGATCTTCTGAAGGGTCAACTACTTAATTCTGGTGTCACATCTGCCGATATCTTGAAGGTTATTGTTTTTTTCATCTCTGTTCTTTTTTGTTACATATGTTTGTATACTCTATTTGTGTAAATGTATTACTGATGATATCTCCCTCTCTTTATAGGGTGTTATTTCTCTGATTTTTGATAAGGCTGTACTGGAGCCCACTTTTTGTCCTATGTATGCTCTTTTGTGTTCTGATCTTAACAATAAGCTCCCTTCATTCCCATCCGATGAACCTGGTGGAAAAGAGATCACATTTAAGCGAGTCCTCTTGAATAACTGTCAGGAGGCATTTGAGGGGGCTGACAGGCTTAGGCAAGAAGTGGGGCAGATGATTACCCCTGAACAAGAGATGGAGCGTAGAGATAAAGAAAGGATAGTCAAGCTTCGGACTCTTGGAAATATTCGTTTAATTGGTGAGCTTCTGAAGCAGAAAATGGTACCTGAGAAGATTGTGCATCACATTGTACAGGTTGTTGATGATACTTCTTTTCTCATGGTTTTATGAATCGGACTTGGTTTTTAGTAATTTACTAATATATGTGTGTGTGTATTTTGGTTATTATGATGAACAGAAGCTCTTGGGTCCTGATACTAAAGTTTGTCCTTCTGAGGAGAATGTTGAAGCCATTTGTCAGTTTTTCATCATTATTGGCAAACAGCTTGATGAGAGTCCAAAATCACGGCGCATAAATGATTCCTACATCAACAGAATGAAGGAATTGACTACAAATCCTCAGCTTGCACCAAGATTGAGATTTATGGTTCGTGATGTCCTTGATCTACGTGCAAACAACTGGGTTCCCAGACGTGAGGAGGTAATTTATGAAGAGCATCAATATTTTTGTTTTGGATTTGATAGACGGTTGACATGCCCATTTTGATGGGTTTTGATCTCTTTTTTGTATTGATTTTTGTAGGTGAAAGCCAAAACAATTACAGAAATCCATTCGGAGGCTGAAAAAAATCTTGGGCTGCGCCCAGGTGCTACTGCAAGTATGAGGAATAGTCGTGTTGTTTCTGTTGGTCCAGTGAGTCCTGGTCCTGGGGGTATGATGCCTGGAATGCCAGGAACTAGGAGGATGCCTGGTATGCCTGGAATGGACGATGGTAATTGGGAGGTTCCCAAAACCCGCTCCATGCCAAGGGGCAATGGAATTGGTACACAGCCTGGAGGGCGTGTCCCGTCAGCATCAACCAATAAGTCGACACCTATGAATCCAAGGCTGTTACCTCAAGGTAGCAGTGGTTTGATGAGTGGTAGGACAAGTGCCCTGTTGCAGGGTAGTTCTACCCCTCCTGCTAGGCCATCCAACTTAAATTTAGGAGTTGAGCCTGTTGCACAACCTTCTCTTTCTACCAAACCTGCTCCAGTGACTGCTGTGTCCCCACCACCAACTCATGCTGCCAGACTTAACCCAGATGATCTTCTGAGAAAAACACGGGCACTGTTGGCGGAATATTTCAGCATTAGGTTGCTGGATGAAGCATTGCAGTGCGTGGAGGAACTAAAGTCTCCAGCATACCACCCTGAAGTCGTTAAAGAAGCGATCTCCATTGCCTTGGAGAAAAGCCCGCCTTGTGTAGAACCAGTTTCAAAGCTTCTGGAGTACTTGTTTACAAAGAAAGTTCTCACAGCTAGAGACATTGGGACTGGATGCCTTCTCTATGGTGCTTTGTTGGATGATGTTGGCATCGACTTACCAAAAGCACCAAATAATTTTGGAGAAATAATCGGGAAACTTGTTTTTGTCTGGGGGTTTAGATTTCAAGGTAGTGAAGGAAATCCTCAAGAAAATGGAAGATGACTTCTACCAGAAAGCTGTGTTCGATGCAACAATGAGAATCGTTAGCTCAGATCCTTGGGGGAAAGCGCTGTTGGATGCACAGGCGACCGAGGTTGAGGCCTGTAAGAATCTATTCTAGATTTTACACTCTCTTTTTAGTTACTATCCATCCATCCGTGCACAAGGCCTAGTGCTTTCTATTACCACTTAAATATATCGTCCTCCACTGAAGTTTCCCCCTTGGAGTAATTTTGATTGATATAGTGCATCTTCCTGCCAATGACAGGTAATTTTTTATCGAGTCATATTTTTTCTCCGGGTTCATAGAGGTGTTTTATTGAGGGAAAGAAAAAACAAACATAAATGCCATGTATTTTGCCCTTTGGCTAATACATGAAGTTCCTTAAAGGGGATCTAGTTTTGTATTTTATATTTTTTTGACCGAGCTATTTATTTAGTTTATTGTTGAACTTTGTCCCATAAATCTCAGTTTTTATGTTTGTTCCCTCTAATCAAAGTGAAAACCCATTAAAACTATGGAGTGGTAGGCAGTTAAAACGACCTGCATTATATATATATATATATGCATGAAAGTTAGAGTTTGGATCTATAACAATTTCTTGCATTTTATTGTGTGGTGTGTGCCCGTTTTAGTTACTGGTTTGGTCTTTTTATTTACAAGGGTACTGAGACTGGAGAGGGTGAGGGGGTACTTAGCAAATGATTCCGATTCTGAATTCAATATTAATATTTGTGGTCGATGTTAAGGGAAAAAAAGATGTGCCATATATCTCTTGATATCATCAATAACAGACAATAAGAGCAGTATTAATTGTGAATTTTACTTCTCTCCCCCTAAACTTTGGAATCAATTCCACCCTTTTCATACCTAATTTATTAGAGTTAAAACAGAAATTTATCTGTCATTTCAATTAATCATAATTATCCGAACTGAAATCTAATGTAATATGAACATTTTTTTTGTCAAACCCAGGGTCATTGGTGAGAATCAAGCATTACAGTTAAGATAGAGAAATTTAACAGGGGATCGTATGCCCATCGAGCTATTGACCCTTGTGGTACACGCCACCCAATCTGCAGTTTGATTCCCTTTTCCAAACATGAGAAAAACCTTCAAGGGAACTATAAAAGAGATGGAATGATAATTAAAAAGAATCAAAAGAGATAAAAAGGAATGTTTTAAATCTCAACCGCACATTAAGAAAATGTAAAACACTTGTTTTACACTGAAATGCAAGTCCCCTACATGGGGTAATATATGTATGTGCATGATTTGAGAATCTGCTATACTTTGCTTCGCCTTGTTATGTAGACTGGATCGAGTGGCTCTTGGAGCGTCGCTATGCTCTATAATAATAGCACTAAATTGGCGCTAATATCACTGCAAATATATATATATATATATATAAAGTGCAAAGCTAGCTATGGAGATGGAGCCAAAATAGAGTTCTAAAATTCTAGTAATAAATGGATTCCTTTGCCCTGTTTCGCGTACAAATCGATATTAAAGAACACAGCAATTTACTGAAATCTCCAGCGGAGCAGCTTCAGAATCGCTGAGCGGAATTTGGAAGAACAAAAACCTAACATCGGCATCTTCCCTTCCACTCTACCCTACCTACCAAATCAAAGCAGACCTACTATTTTAATATTTAATATACTTTCCTTTTCTGAGTGCTGATTTTCTAATATAAGAGAAGGGAAAGAGGAAAAAGGAAACCCTTGCCTGCGAGAATCGGATTCACTCACCTACCTACCATTCCTTTTGTTTTAGTATTTCCCCCTTCCATTTTAAGGGTTGTTAAAATTTCATCCATCTGTTGTTTCTATCGCTTCTTTTCTTTGGATTCTTCGCAAGTTTTCGTTTTTTCTTACACCCTCTTCTTGAAAATGGGGTTTTACGTTCCTGTTTGTTCAAAATCGATTACTTACTTCACAATCGCCCTCAGTTTTCTTGAAGCAATGGAAAAACGGATTGAATAGCCTTAGAACAAAGGCGTTTTATTTTTTCTAGCAATTTTCTCTGTTTTTATTTTTAATTTTGCTATTTTTCAATTATGAGCAAGAAAGGAATGGCGTTGTTTGATGATAAGAGATATGGGTTTTTCTCCATATGTGATTTGGGGTCTCAATGGAGCCTCGAACCGAATAGCTCTTATCCAGGCGGCTTATTTGCAAGCGTTGGTCAAATGGGAATGGGATTTGGCGTTTCGCCCAACTCTCCAAATCCCCCTGACAATGGTGGGACCAAACCTCCATTTTCCGATTTGTTTGCCAAGTATTTACCGGTCCGGGTTGTAGGATGGCTGGAAGATGAAGCAGCGTCGAAAAAGAAGAAGAAAAAGAAAGGTGGCCTAAAACTGAAAATCAAGGTTTCCGATCCTTCATTAAGAAGGTTAATAAGCGGTGGCATCGCCGGGGCTGTTTCAAGGACTTGCGTTGCGCCACTAGAGACAATAAGGACGCATTTGATGGTTGGGAGCAGTGGGAATTCTACAAATGAGGTGTTCCATAATATATTGCAGACTGATGGGTGGAAAGGCTTATTTAGGGGTAATCTTGTTAATGTGATTCGAGTTGCACCTAGCAAGGCCATTGAGGTAATGAATCCCTGAATTGCAAATGTTATTTTATGAATGCTATCCAGTTTGTTTGTTTTTTCATTTTGTGGTACTGGATATTGCTCTGCTGGTTGCTTGGCTTTGAGTTTTCTGATGCCCTTTATGCACTATAAAGTAATATTGGTTCATTTAAATGATAGTGTTTTCGTGTTTTAGCTTATGTTTCTCGATGTCAACCTTTCCCATGTTTGTTATTGGTTCAAATTCTCATATAGTTTAGGTATTTTCTTTGTAGTTTCTATTGATTATCTAATTTCGCACCCACTGGAATTTCTTGTTTTATTTAGTGTTTGTCTAATTGAATTGGTTTCTTTATTATTTCATGTTAACAATACTAACTGTTCAAGCCAAAGTGTAGATTGTTACCTTAACTAGATCAAAGTGAGTGGTTGTTTTCTGATCGGTTGAATAATTACTTTGGATAAGCAATTTGATAAAAATAGTGGTAAATATACAGGCGCCGGTCACTATGGTATTTCGTGAATCCCTTGAAGGGTCTTTCGGTGCTAACTATTCTTGGATGACACTACTATGAAACAGTAAATAAAATGGCTAGAAAGTTTTTTCGTTCTGTTCTATTTTCTGGACATGTCATATATATGGTGGTTGAATATCATCAATTGAATATGTAATTGACTAAGAATAGTCTTCTTTATGGTTCTATTATTCCTAAAAGAACTTCCATCATAATGAACACACTATGCTTTCTGCTCCATCCGAAATTGACTAAGAATAGTCTTCTTTATGGTTCTATTATTCCTAAAAGAACTTCCATCATAATGAACACACTATGCTTTCTGCTCCATCCGAAGCCAAATAATTCTCACTGAATGATGTTTCCATGTCACATTGTCTGTTGCTGTTGTTTCTTTTGTTATTTTTTGCATCTTCTTATTCTTTTCATCACAAGATTGAGTATAAATATAAAATATCTCGTAAACATCTACTTGCTGACACTTTCTTCTATCTGGTTAAATATCATCAACTGAATATGCAATTGGTTTAGGTTTAAAATATAATAATATGTAATTGACTAAGGAGATATGTGAAACCATTGAAAATGTAATTATTTTAGCATGTAGGTCGATCATGTTGGGCTGTTGGCGTAAATTCTACTCTCAAACATCTGTTATATTGTTATTGTTGATTATTAAATCTTCTTTTTGTACGACTAGGTTGTAAACAAGCCTTTTGATGCATTTTTCTTATTCTGCAACAGTGTTCTTTTTTGCTCTTATGTTCTCAATGATTAAACTTTGAAACATACGACAGAAGTGGACAAGAAAAGTATGGGCATTGTTTTTCATAGATCACTTGAGCCTTGCTGCCATGAGTTCTATGCTTTTTACTACTTGGTCATCTTTGGTTGTGGTTGTTTACTTCAATTCCTCGACTAAATAAGGTAGAAACCATGAATCATAGGTTTTAAGCAAGCTTTTCCAAGTGTGAATGTGAACCTACGCTTTTCTTCATATTACTATCCACATTGGTGTTTGGTTGTTGGCTTGTTGCTAAGAATAGTTTTGCAAGTTCTATCCCTGTAGGTATCAAATGAATGCTAGTACCTTGTGTTCTTCACTAAAAATAAAAGCAATAAATTATCGCAGTAATTTAGAATGAATTTTTTCTCCCATTTTAAACTGATGGACCAACAAGCTGCATCTTTCTGATATTATGATTATATGCACTATTTATATTGAAACATATTAGTGCTGTTTAGTCAAAAGAGAGTTGCAGTTATTCCTGACAGGTTCTTATCCATTTCCCATGTACTGCAGCTATTTGCTTTCGATACGGTGAATAAGCTGTTGTCACCCAAACCTGGGGAAGAATCAAAGATTCCAATTCCTGCCTCGTTAGTTGCCGGGGCCTGTGCTGGAGTCAGCTCAACTTTGGTGACCTATCCTCTTGAGTTGGTCAAGACTCGAATAACCATTGAGGTAATCTCGATCTAGAACTTGCAATTCACAAAGTAAAAGTGTGTTCACTTAAGTACCTTTTAATTTTGCAGAAGGACATGTATGATGGTATACTTGATGCTTTCTTAAAAATACTACGAAAGGAGGGCCCTGCTGAACTTTACCGTGGCCTTGCTCCTAGTCTCATTGGAGTAATTCCGTATGCTGCCACTAATTATTTTGCATATGATACCTTACGGAGATTATACCGTAAAATTTCTAAAGAGGAGAAAATTGGGAACATCGAAACACTTTTAATTGGATCACTAGCTGGGGCCATTTCAAGTAGTGCTACGTTCCCGCTGGAGGTGGCTCGTAAGCACATGCAGGTTGGAACTCTAAGTGGAAGACAGGTATACAAGAATGTGGTGCATGCACTCTCAAGCATTCTCGAACAAGAAGGGATTCATGGTCTGTATAAAGGTCTGGGTCCGAGTTGCATGAAGTTGGTACCTGCAGCTGGAATTTCTTTCATGTGTTATGAAGCATGCAAACGGGTACTGGTTGACAAAGATGACGACAACTCATAGAGTTTCTGGTCAAGATAGAACAACAATAACTCATCTTTTGGAACACAACAATGAGACGACATATTGTTTTAGGTTCATCTTTTTTTTTTTTAAAGATTTTTCTCCTGCCGAATTATTTTTGTTGAGGGATTAGTTCAGGTTGCGCATTTGCAAGGGAAGAAATAATGATGCAAGTCAAATTAGTTGGCATACTGTTTTCTTTGGCCTTGAGATGAGACAGATAACTTTATGTTTTATGAACGGAAAAAAACTTGAGTAATGTTTTAGCAACTTGTTTAAGTGGGTTACACTTTTTGATCCATTTTATTATTCCTCGAGTGATTTAACATGTTTCCAGTGTATAGAAAGTGTTATGCAAGAAAAAAAATAGAAGCAAATCAAGCAAGGGATAGATCGAGAGGAACTGACAGGGTGATCATCCTTGAAAATTTTAAATTTTCATATAATTTAATTATTTTTTTATAATTTTTTATTGATAATCTATTTTCGTTTTCTTAAATGATCAGATCGCCCTTTTAGCATAAAATCAAGCATCCCCAAATGCCTAAGTCATGTAGCATTGTAGAAGAAAGGAATTAACAACAAATTTGAATATTAAATAACAAACGGCCATAATATTTTTTACAAAAGTTCCTAAAATCTCATCACAGTGGCTAAGCTTCACTCACAGGCAAACGAGAAAAGAACTGTTAAAAATGCTTACAAATGTAGCACAATGCTAAAATTAATGGAGCATCTTATTCTTCTCTTACCATTACTCATTATCTAAGGCTTCCTCAGCAGCAGCTGCCATCAACTTATCAAACTTCTCTGATTTCCCCAGCAGTATTTCAATCTACAATATAATAAATTGCAATAAGATAAGTTCAACCATGTTCACGAGAATTTACATTAAGTGTTAATTGTTAAATGATTTGAAAATGGACCAATTAATAGTACAGATGAATTTTACTATATATTAATCCATTCTAACCAATCAATTAATATAAGTTATGTTCCATAACTACACAATACCAAGAGGCCTCCCGATATATCTATTATCTAATTGGTCTAATAGTCTTGCAAACAAAAGTATAGAGCTATTCCCCATAGTGGTCAGTCTAATGTGAGCCATGTGATAAAGTAACTTTAAGAATATCATTATGTACGCGTTTTCGACTTACTTTTGCTTTTTGTACTGGACGTCCGCCTGATTCCTCTCTCATGACAATGGCAGAAGTCATGATTTCTGACATATAATGCATATATATCACAATACTAAGTTTGAGTTCTCAACATGAAATCAAAGCTAAAAGGTATCTTTATTAAGGGTAAAACTCACTTTTCTCAATGGCCAAGCAATTGTTCTTCAATATCTCAGCAATGGTGACAACAGTAGAAATAGCTGTGAGGAAGCATTTAAAGCGAGTTATAAAGAGAAACAGATAGTCATACGATAATTTTTTTCACAACATTCAAAACCAAGAGGGAACCACATTGCAATACAATCATAAATCACATGCCATAAATGTATACGTAGCATTGTTTGTATGTCAAGGCAATGTGTTGTAAAACAATTTGTTCACGATGTTCCTTCGATTACATCGCAGTCATGGAAGGTAGAGAAACAAGTGTGTGAGCTCCATGATGTATTAGGCACACATGTTTGAAGCTATCAATTTATACGACAATTCTATCCTTCAAATGCTAAACAGATAACATGTCATAAGAAGGGTAAACTACCTAATTGGTCACCGCCTATTACTTTGTTTCTGTTTTGATCACCGATTTTTTTTCTTTCAAAATTAATGTTACCTTCTGATTCTGTTTTGATCACCGCAGTTAAAAGTGAACCAAAGCATTAAGTTTTTAATGGTGGGTGACCAAAACAAACTACCACTTAAATACTGACAAGAACATCCGAATAAAAAAGTACGAATGAGTAAACCTAGCAAGTGGAATAGAATGAAAGTGCAAGGAAGAGCGAAGAAAGAATACCCATTCCAAGAGCAGAGAGTTCCACCTCATTGTATTGTTGCATGTACCTCTGCCAAAAGGGAGCAAACTAACAGTTTAAACAACTAAGAAAAATCTTTCCTCTTTTTTAATTTTTTGGATCATATAAAAATTCCCATTTGTCTAGTAATTTTTCACATCATGATCATAAACATCCATCAAGCACATACGGAACGACATAAAAATTCCGAAAGGAAGAACAAATGAAACCCAAACTCATAAATTGAAGTCTAAAATCATTCATTAATCACTAAGAGCGAGCAATTGAGAAACATAAAAACAAGTGAAGGAACCTTTGCGAGATTAACGTAGAAAAAGAGGTGTTTCTGGGTATTGGAGACTTGGATACGGTTCTTCTTGTTGTTGGAGGCTGATGAATCCACTGCCTCTGTTGTTCCCACCATTCTCGTCTTTCAGAGAGAGAAAATAAAAAACCTAACTATTTATATCACATCAATTCTCGCCAACAAACCATGGGGGGAGAACAGGGGCTCAAAAACCCTTTAATCCAATCCACTCTCACCACTTCCCCTCCTCTTTTATCGGCGTTTTCCAGGCTTTTCTATGGAATCGATTATTTGAATTTTCTTTTTTTTTTTAGTACAATCCATCGATCCAATGATTCGATAATATAATTCTCTTGATTGCATTTGATGTTAAGTGTAACGGCCTCAATTCAGTAAAGATCAGAGAATTAAAAATAATCTTGAAAAAAACCATTTTAAAATTAATGATATAAAAATATGCTCTATTAACAAAAATATTTAGAATTGAATTACATTGTAAAAATATAAATTGAAGGTTAATACTAATATAACTTTTAAATCTCATAAAATAAAATAAAATATATTTTAAAATTATTTATTTTATAATTTTAATCTTAGGAATAGATTTCAGAACATCAAGGAATACCATTGGTACCCAAACTTCAAATACCATTGGATGAATAAATATCTCTACATAATCGAAAACAATGCAAGGAACATTTAAAATAACACATCATCATCATCAAACTTCATCACCAATAATATCTGGGTTCTTGCTCTTAGGGCTCTCCATCTGGGAATTTATGGTTTGGAGCCTTTCTCTCTCTCTCTTCTTGGTTATATACGCACAATAGCCAGCTTGAAGGGGAGAGAGCATTTACAGGAACAAAATTATCCGAAAACGAAACTAACAGTTGATGCCACACTGACCGTTCGCAGCGGCTTTTGTAGCATCCGATGTGAAGGGGTCGATGCGCACCCACAGCAACGAGAAGATAGAAGCGAGAAGTATAGACCACACGATGACGATTGTAGGGGTGCGATTCTGACGACCCACCAGACCTTTCAAGAAAGGATACAAATGGGCAATCACCCAGATGGCGAAGAAAAGCTTGCCGAAAAGTGGTCCCCAGGATTGGTAACCACTGTTTATGGCATACGATACACCAGCCACGATGCCCACCAGGTTGATAATAAGTACTGTGGTTGGAGGAATGAGAAGTGATGTCCATTTGAAAACATAAAGCTCTGCAAACTCGCCATCATCGTCGGATGCCTTTGAAGTGACAGTAAAGTTGGTATCTATTCCGGCAAGAACTTTAAGAAGACCCTGGAAAACAGCAAAGAGATGAGCTGATGTCCCACCAATGACCCAAAATTGTTCATTTCTCCACCAGTCTTCAATACTGACACCACTCCACCTAAGCTCAAGTATTCCAGTGGCGAATATGGAGACGAAAAGGAGAATGAACCACATGCTAGCATAGTTGCTTATCTGCATAAAATTTGGAGGGAAAACATTAGTGTTAGAGGTTTCAGAGGGTTGAGGGTGTAGAAATCCATCTTAAAGCAAAAAGTGAAGCTATAATAATGGCTTACCTCGGGAATGATAAATTTTCCGGTCAGAAGGCAGAAGGCTGGAAGCATACAATAAGCAAGCAAAGGAATAGAGGTAAGGGGGTAAACGATAGTGTTAATGTATGCCAGTCTCTCCAGAAGCTTCAATCTTCCTTTGTAACCATACCAGATGGGGCAATGCCTGCTCAGCAAAATCTCAATAGAACCCAAGGCCCATCGAAGAACTTGGTTCAAACGATCAGAAAGATTGATAGGAGCGGATCCCTTAAATGCTGGACGAGGAGGCATGCAATAGATTGATATCCACCCACGGGCATGCATCTTAAAACCAGTCAAAATATCTTCTGTAACAGAACCATAAATCCATCCAATCTGGTCACAGGAAAAAAAAAACAAAAGTGTTGGTGCATATAAAAGGGGAAACTGGGTTAGGCACTACTAAAGACCATGACACTTCTCTAACTGACCTCCTTGCCCCATTCAGTCTTATCCTCGTATCCACAACTAATTACATGGATTGCTTCTTTCAAAAGAGTTGCAGGATTGGTTGATGGTGGAATGCCTCCTTGCTCCATGAAGGTAGCAGCAATAAATACCGGGGACTGACCAAACCGCTTCTCTAAGCTCTTCTGAGACATAAGAAGAGACCTTTCATCATCATATCCTGCAGAAAACAATAAATGAAATTAGAACCACAATTACTCTTGAAAACTATTGATGCTGCAAAAATACAATATAATGAAAATTTTATGGCAGCCATGCAAAAGTGGGAGTCCCCACACTGTTTTATGCCCACCTTCAACACCCTCCTCAATGTCTTCCATACAGAAAATGGGGATGGTAGATTCAGTTCTCTTAGCTGCCCTTTTCTTGTCAATGTACTTTTTATTCCCACTCTTTCCCTTCTTTCTTGAACCACAACAACTCTTAACGATAATATTTGGTTCCAAATCAGCTTCTGTTAGAACTGGATCATAACCATATAGGGCTTGCCTGTTGAAACAACAACCAGTTCCCACATAGACTGGACCTTGGATGCCATCTAATCCTTTCAAGTTAATCTGCAAAATACAAGTACAAATTGAGATATCATTCCCCATTAACCAGTAATTGAAAAGAAACACCATCTTGAAGACAAATTAAGTGGGTCTTACATCAAAGAACACAATATTTCTGTTGGCATATCGATCGTGCAAGTCAATACCATCAAAACGTTGAGGGAACTGTACATAGCATGTTTTTCTTCCGTATGCAGGATCCATCATGAAACACATTGCTTCTTTAAGAGCTTTGCTATTATTGAAGTAGTGATCACAATCGACATTCAACAAATATGCCCCATTGGTAAGAACAGCTGAAACTCGAATCTGTGAAGAATAAGATGGCCAAATTAGAAAACGTAACTGATTGGTGGGAAGTGCTGAAGATCTAAAAGGACATATCCCTGATGAAAGACTGGCTAATATTCATTGTGATCACATGCAACATAAATATAATGCTCTAAAATACTTCGGTTGCATGATGCATTTTTTCTCATAGGTAGCCCCCAAAAGAGCAAAGGGAATATTTGATTGCTTGAGGAAAACATGCTGAAATTGGAAAAAGGGCTGAGAACGGCATACCAAAGCATTCATCGCACCAGCTTTCTTGTGGTGCTGGAAGCCAGGTCGCTTCTCACGGGAAACATAGATAAGACGAGGTAGCTCATTTCCATCAGTATCAAGCCCTCCACTGTGACCTAAAAACACCTGTTGATCCACAGAAAATACATTAGAAAATGAAAAGAACCATGATAGTAGTACTCACAGAACCAAGTTTAGTGCCCTACAACTCAGTTGAAGAACAATACCTGTATCATTCCTGGATGATCTCTTGGGTTGTTTCCAGGCCACGGCGTACCATCCTGCATGGTCCAACCTTCTTCGGGCATTTTCTGAGCTTTGGCAACAAGGGCATTGATCCGAACCTTGAATTCTTCATATTCTCTCTGTTGAAAGAAGAATATACCTTTACCAAAGTTAAAATATGTGACATCCTTCTTTTTTTGTTTAGTAGGAACTAGCGAGTGGAATAAGAAACTCTTTAGATATTATAGGTCTAATATTCTAAAAATCTGTCTTGGACTTGGGTAGGAACACCCTCTTTAAATCTTCTGCAGATTTCTTTGGTTATTTATTTATGCATGCAGTGGCTAACTACAAAGAAAATATATGAAAGTGTTGACTGTTTCAAGCAAAGCTTACAAGAAGGCACGAAACTATGTTTAAAATGGCATATGCATTACCAATCTATTTTCTTTCCTATATTATTACCTATTCATATAGACTATTATTTTACCGCTATTTCATGAATCTCAAGATATAACAACATTTTCAACATGTTAATGCAAATTTAATTCTAGGCTAACACTCAAATATAACCTCAATGTTTTGGTGATATCCAAAAAGAATCATGACAGTAAAGTTTATTAAAATCGGAGTATTGCTCTGAAATACATTTAATGTATAACCGACATACATAACATTCACGTAAACATAATTATGTACCCATACACTGACCTTCATTGCACGACGCTCTTTGACAAAGGAAGGCTGTATCTTGTCCTTTAGATAATCAATCTTTTGAGCAAAGTAAAACTCAGGAGCTCTAGGCTCTATGTTGTGCTTCTTGCAGAAAGGCACCCATCTCCTTGCAAACTCCGCGGTTTCAGAGAGGGCTTCAAAAGTCAACATAGCTGAACCATCATCTGATACATAGCAGGCTACTTTGTCCACAGGATAATCCACTGCAAGAATTGACAAGACGGTGTTCGCTGTGACAAGCGGAGGCTCTTTGAGTGGATCCACTGTACTGACAAAAACATCTACGGGGGCTAGCTGTGATGGTTCCCCATCTCGGTCATATCTAGAAAATAGAGCCAACTATTAATTGTATTATAACAGGCAACACACCACACACAGGCAAAGAGAAAGCAAGGTAGTTTGTCAGCCACATAAGAAATAACCCATCAGCGAAGTAACAGAACTGACCTCAAAGCTAGCCTGTCAAGGTAGGTCTCACGATTTATGGGATACCATTTTGGAAACTGATCCAGAAGCCATGATAAGGCAAACCAAATCTCACAGATAACAGATGTTAGCCACAATGGATATGCATCTTTCACTGGATGTGTTGCACGATATTGCAAGAAAAAGCCCAAAATGATGAGACGAAGAATGATGACAACACGATAAGGGGTCAGGTGAGATGAAGAAATAGGCACCACACGACTCAAAGGTTGACGAGCATCATCAGCCCTGCAGTACAAGAACTGTTAAACTTGAAAAAGAAATGCAAATGTGAAATGCATAGATGACATCAACTGAGCAAAAAAACATATTAATTCTGTATGTGAAGACAGAAGCAATGGGAGATAGAAATATGACAAAATGACAATATTCCAAAATCAAATTTAACCAAAAAAAATTGAGCAGGTTAAAAAAAATTAAAATGAAAATTATAAACTTCATGTAATTTATAAGGCCCTGGAGATATATAAAAGCACTCAAGGTAACATAGTAAACTGATTTAAGTTTTATTCTAGACAAGATAAACTCACATTTGCAGTTCCTCCCCATTTGAACCAGTTCCTTCTAGATCTCCCTTCCCTTCAGGGTATCTATTGTTCATATGCATCACATTTTTATCCTGTTTGAGTTTCCAACTTTCAACCCTTTCCTTCCAATCAACATTCCCGAGGCCATAAGAATTCAAGTCCTTTGTCGGGTCCACGATTCTCACCGGAACTACAAGAACAGATGATATTAGCAATTCAGATAATAAACCCTCCGGGGGGGAGGGGGGATCTAGTAAACAAACACAATAATGTAATTACCTGGTTGCCTTGGGTCAACATAAGGTGACGAACTAACATTCTTTTCAGAAGGGCCCAAAGGACCTGAAGTTGTTCTCACAGATTGATTGTCTGGAGTAGCAATTTCTCCGGAAACCTGAAAATGCTGGGCTATCAGATAAAGAAAAAAAATGACCATTTACAAAAACATGTCGGGCTATAACATAAGAGTTAAATAGCTAATGAGCAAAAGAAATAGAAAGATTGCAATGCATATAACTGCTGTGAACATGTGAAATGTTTTAAACGAAATTTAGTAAGAGGATAATAAATCCTACAAATCCAGGCAAGAAGGAAATGGTTTTGTCAATTAAATCTGATTATGATAAACCACAATGGATGACTTGATTTTTCCAACTTTGACACTGAAACTCGGTAATTGAGAAGCACTGCTTGACCATCCAATAGATAGATTAAAGGGTATTAAAAGAAGAAACAAACAATCACAGCATTGTAAGGTTCATGCAAACTTCCTAGCATAAACAGGGACAGAAGCACATAAAACGCCTACCGTACGGCCATTGGTTAGAAGGGGAATTGGTTGTTGAGATTCATGTCTTGAGGATGAAGAAAGATCCACATCTTCACCCTGCCACTGCGGCCTTGCCTTACCGTGCCCTTGAGGATAATCAAACTCATTTTCCAGATCATCAACATCTTCCTCGTCATCATCTCCCTCCACCCGAGGGCTCCCTGAAATATTCAGATACTAATTACTTCGCACATGATAGAAAATATTAGAGGCCAAATCGTAAAATGGAATTCAAAGGCAAACAAACAAAGAAATGGACAGACCTTTATGTCTCTTGTATCTAGTCTTGCATTGGGGACAACACTGAGTCCCGTCTTTCCGTTCATACTCATAACAAGGCCGGCAGACAGGGAAGGCACACTCATTGCAAGCAACAAACACATCACCGGTAGCACCAACTCCAACATTATCACCACAGATCTGACATCTCTGTCCATTCTGGTTCTTCAACGGTTTTGGCTGCATTTAGAAATAACAATTATCGCTGTTACAAATCTTCTAAATTTTTTAGCCGCAGAAAATCTTTGATTTTGAATAAGACAACGTATTAAGTGAACTTCGAAAGACCCGATTCTACAGATGAGCTTATAGGATGAAAATCAGACCCGAATCTCAAAGATCCGATTGTGCTTGGCACCCAGTCATTCAGTTCTTGAGTCAAAAAATACCCTGCTAACATTTAGATCCTAACAACGACTACCCGATATCGAGATCAACGATAATGGACTATCTTAAGCTGTAATTTGTAAAGTCACTTTCCATAATAACAAACTCAGATCTTAACGCTGCAAGCAAATTAAATATATCCACAGAAGAATAATAACGAAATGAGAAATGGGCAAGCTTAAAAGACAAACCCCACTGTCGGAATCATGGCGAATCCGAACCAACTCGTTCCTCCGGTGAGAACCGGCCACCATTCCTGCACTTGCTTCCATGGTTTTTTTTCTTTCACGGATCGAGAGAGAAGAGTTTTATATTAAAAAATGTGGGAAGGCTGAGAAAAGACTGTCGGCGATCTTCTCCCATTCAACACGCCATCTCCATTTTCTCTTTACTCATTCCCAGCTATAATCTTTGTGAATTGTTCACTCGATCTTGGGCTCAAATGCCTTGTATTTTTTAACACTTATTTTTCCATTTTTAAATTCATTTATTGTCTTTATTCTTTTTCTGTGATGCAACGATTTTCACTGGCTGAACCAGTTGCTATCTGTTGCCCAATTGTGCTCAGCTTCGATCATTTTCATCATTATGCATTGATGCTTGCTAACCTCAGTTTTATAACCAGTAAGATTATTACACGTATCGAGCTAACCGTTAGTCAGTATCTTTCATACAAAATGACTATCAACATATGATACAAATTTTTGCTTTGCTGGTAACAGCCTGTTCTTAACTTTACCGGCTATCGCCAGTCATCTGCATCTGCCGCTCTTGTCGGTGGACTCATTTTCTCTCCAACAACAGGTTATACTAAATAATTTAGAAATTTACTATTATATCCTCGTTTTAGTGCCATTGTTATCATTGATTTTTTTTTCTTAATTGTAAAATAATTATTCAAAATATATCGTTTTTTAGTAGGTTTGTAAACTTTTTAAAATTCGTTCTAATGTTTAACGTTATAAATTAAACTTTTATTGAATTTTAAAATTTTATATTTTTAAAAAATCATTTAAAAAACAAATTCTCCCACCCCACCCACGCGCCCCTCTCCCCAATCCACCCACGCATCATCCTCTTCTCCCTTTCTCCTGCCGTAAATTAAACTACAACAGGGTAGCACCAATGTTATTCCTCATCTAAATTCTCGTGTATGAACCCCATCATCGCTTACAAACATCGACAAATAAATTTCTTAATCCGATTGAGACTCTTTAAGGATTTAGAGTTTTGATTTAGGAATTTGGGTATTAAAATATAGGATTTGAACAATCACGTTGAGGTTTTCGGGTGGCTGGTTGTCGGTTAAATGACTATCGGGTGGAGGCGTGTTCGGGTTAGTCTCGGTCAACGGCAATGACGGCTAAAGTAGCGACGAAATAGGTATAAGGTTGAAATTAGAATTTTCAAAGTTTTGATATTTTTTTAAATTTTGAAAAAAATTATTTTTTAATAATTTAAAAAAAAAATCAATATCACTTAACAAAATTTTTTAACGTTCATTACAATCGGACACATAAAGTATTAATTTTGTAACGTTAGACACTTGGATGAATTAAAAAAAATTGAACGCCTTGTTAAAAAATGATATAGCTTAAACACTTATTTTGTAATTAAGCATTTTTTTAGGAAATGGTTATCATTGGATTAAATGTGCAGGAAGGGAATTGATTATATTACATTCTACTATTTATTTATTTATTTGATTAAATTAATTACTCAAAAATATATTCTTAATCGACGAAACCATTCGAGTAATTTAATAGATTAATTGAATTGATTAGATTTTAGTTAATTTTATCAAAAAAATAATATCATATATTATTTTTTAAAAATAAATATAATTATCTAACAAATATTTAAATATCAAATTGATAAGAAAGATAGCAACACAAATAAAATATATATTTAGAAATTTTATATAAATTTTATAAAATGATTTTTCCAAAAAAAATGAACTATGTCTTAAATTGCATTTTTAATCCCTCTAATTAGGAAATTGACAGACATTTTTATATATTTCAAACAAAATCAAAATAGCCACCATTTAAAATTTTCATGCACTTCTACCATTAATAAATTACATTAGAAAAAAACCATCTACTTTTGCTGATTGAGGAGAGGGCTTAAGGTTTGACTGTTTAGATAAGTTAAACGTTGACCGTTGACTTTATCTTGACAATTGTGTTTCACTTGCAGTTGCGGTTAGTTATGATTTGAAATTTTATTTCAAATGTATAATTATCATTTACCAAAAAACTTTTAAATTATATAATGTAGTTTAATAGGATAAAATTTATATTAAAATTTTAAAATTTAATTTTTTTAAATGTCTTGTAACTTCATTTATTTTATTAAACTATTTAATATTATTTAAAAAATAAGTACATAATAATTATTTAATGATGTAGTGGGGAGTCGTCCTCTCTGAAAATTTAAAATTACTATATATTTTATATTTATTCTATATATTTTTTAATGAAAATATATTTTTATTTCCCCTAAAATTTTATAAACTTAAATTTATCCCTCAACATAAAATCTTACGTTCGACCTTAATTATAATACCGATACGTAAATAAGGTTGTGACTACAACGGATTCGTTGTTGTTGCCGACAGTGTGACACCCTAACTAATTCCATAAAAAAAATACAACCACTACCTTTTTAAAAATCGTATATACTATAGTGTAAGCCATTGACCAAAATTTGTACAGTTAAATTACGATTTTCCAGCCTTAATGGACACATATTGGTCATGTTTTCATTCTTCGGCTTTTAAAATTGTAAATTTAAAAAGAAAATAATGAAAAAAAATCTCAAAATGCAATGGTAGGTAGTGAGGTTGCTTTCTTGAACCTTACAAATTATTATATTTTCTAATATAATAATTGAATACACACTAGTACCGATAATATCATAATTACAGTAGTCGATAATGGGTATAAAAAATAAAGGGTAAACTACCCATTTAGTATCTAGATTATTAATTTTGATTTGTTTTAATACCTAAACTTTTAATTTTTTCAAAATCATACCTAATTTTTTAATTTTTGCTTCATGCTAGTACCCATTGTTAAAAATTTAATGTGTTTAGTACCTAAACTATCAGTTTTCGTCCGTTTTAATACCTAAACAAAAAAATAATATTAAAATTTGAATATGGGTACTAAAATGAAACAAAAACTAAACTTTAGGTATGGTTTTAAAAAAATTGAAAGATTAGGTACTATAACGGATCAATACTGATAGTTTAGGTACTAAAGTGGAATTTATCCATATAAATTCAATTATGGTGTTAGCTCGTAGGGGAGAGTGCAGGATTTGACTTGCCATTTATTGTTTGTAAAGCCCAAGACCAATGAAAGGTGACCTGCGGAGAAAAAACCTGGGTTCAGCCTTGGACCAAACACCATCTCATATGAAGAAAAAAAATATTGGTATATTGTAAAAAAAAAAAAACCGTCCGTTTAATCGTTATTTTAGTTTTTATTTCGCTTTTGTAGTATTATAGTGTCGTACTTTTTATTTTAAGGTACAAAAATATAAATGTTGAATTAAATATTCATTTTAATTCTTATTTTTTTAAAAGTATTTTGACTCATAATATTTTATTTTACAATAAAAGATTCTTATTTTAGAATATTAACTATTTGTTAACTAACAATTTTTATCGAGATTTGCCACTGTGAAAATTGCACGAGAAAAAAATCCCTCATCAAGCTTTTGCAAAACAGTGCAGCTGGCAACTGTAAAAATGGTTTTCTAAAAGGATTAAAAAGGCATAAACTTTAACCAGATTCAACATGCTTGGTTTTCAAAAGCTATTACTTTAAATAAATAAAAGAAAACCTAAAAAAGCATTGCTTTAAAAAGTTTTTCATATTTCCATGCTTTGAATTTGGATTTATTTCCTTTTTTTTATATAAAAAAGGGCTTTTATTTTTCTCCTTTGCCTTCAATGTTGACCATCACAGTGTTGAATTTTTCAAATCATTTACCATCTCAAAGTGAACCAAATTTCTTCGGTTTTCAAGGGGCTTTTGAGGGGCCCTAAAGGATGTTTTAAAATCATGATTGTGCTCTTCTTTCATCTAGCAATTTACCCCCATCAGTTGCCTTTTTCTTTTCTTTGTTGCTTTTGGGCTATTCAATATCCTTAATCTTATTAGGTTTAACACTGATTAAAGTGTTTTAGAAAATTTAATTTCAGATTAATTTACAGAATATTGTAGGTTGATAGTTGTTCAATATCTTAAACAAGTTGTTGATTTTATTTTGTTTATGGTCCCATCATGGGATGATTGGTACACCAATCATGGATCCTTCCACCACTGAATAGAGCCAACAAATCTCTCATATTCCCATCATTGTTGAACAATGATTGCAGCTAGTGCACTGAAAATGGGGGCAAATGCATCCATAACAAATCAAAACTTGTTTACAAAATGGTCCTCTAATTATAGGACGTTACTTTGTTGAGTCCTCAAATTATTAAAAGTTACAAAATGGACTACTAACTGTGTTCCGAACTTGTCTTTTTCAGTTAAAAATTGATGACAGTTTGAGTTGGACGTTAACATGTTGACTGGGATATAATAGTCTTTGAGATTCTGAGATCGAATTTTATTATATCACATTCACTAGGTTAACGTCCAACTCAAATTGTCATCACTTTTAAAAAAAAAAGGATGAGTTTGGAACACAATAAATAGGCAAGTGACCATTTTGTAACTTTCAATAGACAGGAGACTCAACAAAACATCTTATGGTTAGGGATCATTTTATAACTTTTATTAATCAGCTGACTCAATAAAGCAATACCTTATGATCAATGGACCATTTGTGTAGTTTACCCTATTAATAATTATAATTAAATGGTTGTCGGCGTTAATGACTAAATAGGGATGAACCGAATGGGTGTTGGGATGCGATCGCACCACATGAATTTTCAAATTCTCTTATACTTTAGATTTTTTATTGATTATTTAATTTCGTACCATCTAAAATTTCATAATTCCGTACCTCATAAAACTTTTAATATAACTTTTTAAATTCATATCTCTTTACATAAATTTTTACGTCCGTTCCTGTCATTAATGATAAAGAAAATGTGTTAGGATTGTGAGATGGGAAGTACTTTCACTTCACTGACATCAATAAAATCAAATGAGGATTGAGGGGTGAAGTAACTTAAAGCCAAGCTTAAAGTGAAACAAAGAATCTTGCTAAAAGCTAGATCATGGATTGTAGTAACAGACACACACTAATGAATTGCATGCTCCCTTTTTGACCAATTAATTCTTTTAACTTAATTAATGGTGGGTGTACACATAATTTTTTTTACTAATCCGGGTAATTACAATGCAATAACTGATATTAAATGCTCACACCTTTAGCATTTATGATGCTCAAACTCAGAATCTCAAAAAATAATAACAATTCTTTTATCATTGGGGTCACTCGGTTCGTGTGTAAACATAATTTAAAGATTATTTAATTGTGACCTTTTAAGTAAAGGATGTTTATGATTATAATTTTACCAATCGTTTTAATTTTTTTATAGTTATGTCAACTGTATTTTCTTAAAATTTTATTTGATATATCGTTTTTATTAAATTAAAAATATTATATTTGGTGTATGTAACTACAAACTCTTCCATCCCTTTATATATTTATACCCCAAACCAAAGATTTAAAGCTTTGGAATCCTATGTGAATTAATCTTAAAGAATACAATTAATTTGGTCGAAAATTAGACTGGCTATGACTTTTCATTGTTTTGCAAAGTACAACATATAAAGAAGATAATTATCTCTCCCTTTTACTAGTCAAGGTAAGATAATATTAATTATTAGCGGCTGATTAATTAATTAACTATGAAGCTCATTGGTAGGGCATGCATTTCCCTTGGTTCCATGATTCTGAAACACAATTTAGGCTATCGAATATACAAATCCAAGGGTTCCATTCCCATTTTCCGGGTTTTTTTTTAATATTTTATCAATTAAATTTGTGGTGTTTATACATTTGCTTTACTCTTGATTAATATTAGATCTTAAAATCTCTCCCTTGATAATAGTAGTGTTAGTTGAAAAAAAACTCAATTAATACTTTATAATATATGTTAGCCATATATTCAGCAAAGGATTCAGATTTTTTTTAGAGTGGACACACGTATCTTAATAATATAAAATTTTAAATGAAACGAGTACAAATAAAATTTCAATGTGAGCACAGTCCGAAAAATAAGTAACTAAACGAAGAAAACTCAAATTTTAGAGTGGGCACGAAAAATTTCAGGGTGGATACCATTAGTAAAATAAATAACTAATCGAAGAAAATTCAAATTTCAGGGTAAGTACGTGCCCACCCTGACCCAAACTATATATATTTATGTGCGCGCATGTATACAGTGGCAAATATATATAGATTTCAAGGTGAGTATATGCCCACCCTAGAATCTAAATTTTTTATATTAGTTGTTTATTTTATTGAAAGTGTTTTTCCTGAAATTTTATTTGTGGGCATCTCGTATGAATTTTTTTATTATTAATACATATGTGTCAATCCTAAAAAATATTTCTGAATCCGTGAATACATATTTATGTGTTTCATTAATAATTTGGTATAAAAATCCAATAAAAAACTCAATGACTACCTGTATTCTTTTCTCTTGCATTGGTTTAAACAAAAGATCCCTATTGTGGTCCAAGAATAACCCTCTTTAACTTTGCTTTGCCCTTTGCAGAACTGAGGGATATGCCTGGTTTTTGAATGATCAAATATTCCTTGGACCATTTTCAAACAAACAAAAAAGCAGTCTTATCAAAGAGAAAGGGAAGATAAAAAGACACTGATATAAATACCATAACATCAATTACATGCATGCATGCTCTATATACTTTTATATTAGCTTAAGTACTTCAACCCAAGTCTTTCAAACATCTAACATAAAACAAACAAACAAAACGAAGAAAGACAGAAAGAAAACAGCATCTGGGATGGCCTTGTCTCACGGATCTCATCTCTCTCCTGGGACTGCACTGCACCGCTACCTGAAACCAGACTCATTTGTTTAGAGGCAGTGTCTTAATCATCACGAAGTTGTCTGTAAAAAGAAAAAGAATGTACCCAAAAATGAAGATTTCATTTTATTAATTAGTATGAAGATTTGTGGGTGTTGGAGTCCCTTGGTGCATTGCATCTGAAACATTCCATCCTGCTGGCAAAGTTGTGCTCGTTGCAGCCAGACCTTATGTTCAAGCATATCAACAAATGTTCATCAGTTCTAACGTTTAATTTTATGTTCAACCATGTAGTATACGTGTTTGTATATAACTGTATATATTGAATCAATGAAATGAACCTGGTGCAAATCCAGTCTCCAGATTTCCAGTTAGAGCGAGTAGAGCTGGCACTGCCAAAACCATAACCCCTCATACGTGGGACGTTGTCACCTTCAAATCCACCAGACGATTCATCTTTGGCTGCACCACATTTGAAGCAGCTTGATCTGCTAGCGAAGTTGTGAGCCCCGCAGTTGCCCACGGTGCAATACCAGTCACCAGGCCTAACGTCGGGTCCAGTGAACCCTAACGATGAGCCGCCGCCCCTGCTACCACCGAAACTTCCATACTCGCCTCTTTCGCCACCGCGTCTCGGTTCTCCACAGCGCTGGCATGAGTCCCTCCTTTGGAAGTTGAGGTGCTGGCACGAACTGCAATTCCAGTCACCTGGCCTGTTCATATTTCCTACTCTACAACATAGTCAAAACAAAACATAATCAGCCATGCATGCATGATCCTGCATTAACTCCATAATGAAGCTTGGATAAAATGGTACCCAAACTAAAAGTGCAGAGAGTTGCAGACCTTGAGAAAGAAGATGGGATGCTGTAAGCAAAGTAGTGGATTTAATTTAATAAGTGGGTTTGGGGTATTTATATAGAGGATTAGACCTTGAGCTGGAAGTAGGAAGGGCTTAGGTTTTCTTTTTCATGTCACTTTAATTTCCTTGAACAAGGGAATCACAGTGAACTACAATTGGAAAAAGAGATAAGAGGAAATTTGAAATTAGATTCCAAAGGGGAAGAAAAAGTTCCAATTTCAACTCCTTTTTAGGGCTTCTAGTTGCATGTAAATGAGTGGCAAGTGCATGAGCACATGCAAATTAATAATTTCATCTTTTCTTACTTCCTTATTTGCCCTTCTTTCTGCATGTTTTCCCCTTTATACTCCCAAAATATAAAATTTCTCTTGGGTACCAGTACAACCAGTGAGTACAAATTATAAATTTAATTTATATCTTTCACTTTATTATTTATAATCTTTATATTTTTTATATTTAAAAATTTTACCCAAATATACGTTAAACCTGTTAAACAGATTTTTGTTATAAATCACCATCTAATTTGTAAGTTGTATATTTAGTTATTGTTATCCAATACGATCATTTTAATTCTCTATAATTTAGTTACTTATTTTAACTATTTGATTTATAATTAAATTTTAAAAATAAAGAAATTAAAATAAACTAATTTGAATACATGGGTTGACGTCTAACAAGATGAGATGTTAAATTTATTAAAATCATCTAAAATTTAAATGTTAGAGTTGCCAATGGAGTAAATTAAATCGAAAATTTCATCATCGTAATGAATTTCAACATATGATTATAAATTTTTATCATACAGTAATATATTAATTAATTAATTAATTAATCAAATACCGAAAAAAATATAGTACGCAAATGATCAGCTTTGAATGTCTAGTTCCGTCGTAGAGTAAGAAGATAAACTTTTGATCGAGACATATTATGGTCCTCACACTCATCATTCTCAAGCAGTGTGATATGGTTTGAGTAATTAGAGGATTGGACGAGGAGAAACAAAGAGCATTATTTCTAACCAGACAACATGAATATCCCACAGATCTCTAAAAGAACGTTAGAGAAAGGAAGAAAGAAAGGACCCCAAGCCGACTTATTCTTATCCTAGAATGACCCAAGTAGGGGTTCATGTCTCCTTTTAGTAATAATAATAATATATAATTTCATTCCTTTTTTCAAGCAAGTCAAAAGGGTTTTGAGAATTTTCTTTGGTTTGAAAAAGATAATGGGAACTGATACCAGGGACTAAACTGCTATTTTCGACATAACCCATGCACCTCAAAATTTGGTTCCAAATCTTAATATTAATTTGGGTTTTGAAAAATGTTATTGCATCGCCAGAAGCAGAGATGGACCGAGGGGGCGGATGGGGTAACCGTCTCTTTGAAAATTTAAAATTATCACATATTTTAAAAAAAAAATCTATGTATTTTCTATTGAAAATATATTTTATCTGCCTGTAATTTTAGTTCACCCCGCTAAATTTAAGTTGACGGCCACAAGCTACGTTGTGAGCTAAGTTTATGATTAAACCAGTATCTTATGAAATAATTGATTAATTTATGTTTCCAATGGGAAGATGATTAAGGAGAATAAAAGGTTCAAAATTTGACCATCTTTTTTCCTCCTCTATTTCCTTTTCCAAACACAAATTAATTCCCACAATTACAAATAAAAATAGCAACTCCCACAATTTTAGTGGGGAATGAGTAAAGAAAAGCTGTACAATGCAAAAAAAGAAATGCTTCCATTCATGAACAACCGATGCTCCAAACGGAATAAAAGAAATATGTGTCTAATTAATATAAGGGTAACTTATACCATAGCAACCAATCTATTCCTTATTTTCTATCTTGGTCACTTAACTATTTATTTTGACAAAATTATCACTGATGTCACATTTTTTTGATCTTGATACTTATTGTTAAAAAATTAATAACGATGTTAACCCGGATTTTCTCACATTGTTTTTCTATCTTTTTATCAATAATCTATATATTATTTTTAAATAATTTTGCTTGGACTAACAAAATAATGACATGTTCTAATTTTCGTAAAAATTGAATAAATATACGTGTTTAACCTATATGTTTAGACTTATGCAACTGTTGAAATATGTCATGATTTAACCTATATGTCGTAATTGAATAAATATACTTGTATGTCTATGGAGATTGAACGAATATTTGTGTAACTCACAAGTCATGGTTACGGTAAATATCGAAATATGTCATAATTTAGGGGGGGGGGGAATCTTGTGCGAATATCTTAGAAATATGAATAGAGTAGGAATATTGATAAAAGCTTAAGAAAAATTATAAAAGTAAGCCTCGACTAATATCATCATTGTTATGGCCATCAGAATAACATGTGGCTTGCGTCAGTAGAGTAGGAATCCAAATTAGCCTCCGTGGTCTTCTTCAGCAAAAGCGCAGCCTTGTCTCGAGCTCTCGCGGATCCTCTGACCGAGATATCAGCTAACACAGTTAAGAAGTCCGGGAGCTTCAAAGCATCGACAATGCAGGCCTCGCTTTCCTCGAACAGTCGGACAAGTATTTCAGCCGCCCCTTCCTTGCTCATCATGCTCCTTCTCTTCATCACCTCCACCATCGAACTAACAATATGGTCCGTCTTTTTCAAAGCATTTAACCCTTCATCGAACCTAGAAACAAGTTCCAGAACAGCTAGGGAAGTCCCGGAAAGGTCTTCTCCGTCGGTGCTTTTCACCACTTGGATCAACACAGGGACGGCTCCGGCCCGGACAGCTAGGGTGCAGTTACCATGGAACTGCACCAGCTCGGCCAAAGAACTAAGCAGATAATGGGCAGCCGGATTACACGGGTCTGAAACTGCATGGACCAACAACGGGATGGTCCCGGCCACCCCGAACATGGCCTTGTTTTTGTCCAGCATGGCGAGGCTGCAGATGAGGGAAGAGGCTAACTTGGTGGACTCGGGTGGGGAGGTTGAGGAGAATATGGAGTTGAGATGATTGATGGTTTTCATGTCTGCAAGAGATTGTTTAAGATTCGGGTTTAAAGAGAGGTTAAAGAGTATAGATAATGAAAGAGTTTGGATGAGGGGAGAGGAGGATTTGCAGAGGGTAAGGAGGGCAGGGATTGCTCCATTTGATTGAGCTACTAAAGTCCTGTTTTGTGGACTCACCCTGGTAATAGAAGCTAGGGTTTGCAGTGCTTCTAGCCGGAGCTCCTCTGAACCTGATTGTGCTTCAAATAAACATTCAAGAATGGTTTCACGAAGCTTAACTGTAGACATGGTTTGATTTAAGTTCAGGAAATGGTAACAAATGGTTCTAAACAGGCCATCTATAAGATGAATGTCCAACATGTTGTATTATGTAGATGAGAACAATGCGAAACAACATAGGGAAAACCTCTGGGGTTTTTTAAGAATTGTTTCGATAATTTCTTAGTTCATAATAGTAAAATGTCAAACATATAATGTTAAATACCCACTTTAGCTCAATAAACGTACCACTAAATTCCAATCAGTTACCAATCTCATTTCACAGTTTTTTAGGATAAGTTTCGGATACATTAAACGCAACTACAGCGAAACTATCGAGGATACTGCACCAACAATGTAACAAGAATCCAACACCTAAATATCATAATCCAGAGACTAATTATTTATAAAACATCCTAAACGCAAGCCGAGTGGAAAATGCTAAAATCGGATATTTAGTCACTGAACGCAACCTCTGGCGACGACACAACAAACTAGAAACAACAGTTTGGTAAAACTACATAGTGCCGTGCAGGAAGAGAAGAACGGCTCTGAAATCAAAACCCCCTATTCACGTTCCCTAGTCAGGTGAGCCTTCATCATATGATACCAGGCCCTTTTTACCATCTGGACTTCCGGAAGATGACCTCGACCTTGCTTTGCTTGCCTGCTTTGGAGACTGGGAGTCCAATGAGGACCTTGATTAGGATCGGCTCCTGCTCTGAGATGGGGACCTTCGCCTCCCAGCCCTTGGAGAGGCACGAGATCTGGTTGCATCGACTGGAGAGCGGCTGCGAACAGGGCTTCAACTGTGACTAGGGCTACGGCTATATCGACGATTACGATACCGAGGGCTAGGTGATACAGATGGACTTCGTGTCCTGCTTCTTCTGTCTCTGAACCTGCATAGTATGTTTTCAGAAAACAGGCCAATAATCAAACCATTAATGACTTCCAGAAACATAATGGCATATCAGACCTTGAAGGAACTCCTCTTGGAGGGCTTCTATAACGCCGAGGTGAATACCTCCTGTAACTTGAGTACCTAGAATATAAAATGAAGTTTTAGGTGAATAGCTCTTGAAGCAAAACCCCATTGTTAAAATATAATATAGTTGTAGGATAAAGAAAAGGGTAAGAAAATTTAAAAGAAAGAGGCGGCATGAGTACCTCTCATTATCAAATCTACCACTGTAACGATAGGACCTCACAGGGGAACGATCTGGAGAGGGGGTTCTGTATCTCCGTGCATAGAAGTAGCGCTCACTGAAACCCCGGCCCCTTCTGATGCGCTTAGGTGATGCATCAGGTGAAATACTTCTCGATAAACTTCGACCTCGATCAGCAGGAGGGGACCTTACCCTTCGTACCGGGGTGGGACTCCTTGAATAGTTACGGCGATACTTCCTACTGGTTTACCTCAACGGACTTCTGTCTGGGCTTCTCCTAGGAGCAACCCTTCCTGAGCTCCTACTTTTGCTTCTATGAGAGGATCTTACAGGACTTCTGCTGATGCTTCGCCTCGAAGATCTTACAGGACTTCTGCCGATGCTCCGCCTCGAAGATCTTACAGGACTTGTGCCGATGCTCCGCCTCGAAGATCTTACAGGACTTGTGCCGATGCTCCACCTGGAAGAACTTACAGGACTTGTGCCGATGCTTCGCCTCGAAGATCTTACAGGACTTCTGCTGATGCTTCTCCTTGAAGATCTTACAGGACTTCTGCTGATGCTTCTCTGAGAACGTGCTCCTGCTGATGATCTGGGTGGGCTTCTTAGGGACCGGGACCTTTTAGGCCTCCTACTAATGCTTCTTTGAGAATGTGCTCTCCCTGGACTCCTACTGATGCTTCTACTCATTCTACCCCTCAAAGGGCTTTTGCTAAGGCTTCTAACAGCACTTCCACTTCCATTTCTTTCTGGAAAACGTGGGGGGACTCCTGCTCACACTTCCACTTCCATAAATCCGTGAGGTTAAAATTTGAAGGGAACATCTGCCTGTGCAATCTGTTGTTTGACAGAACAAGAGATTCTAATGAAGAGAAGCCCATGACCAAATGGTCAGGCAGTTCACTGGACAATTGGTTGTCAGACAAATCCAAGTAATATAGGGAATTCATATCACCAATCGAGGGGAATTGCTACCATGAAAATGATTTTTCGACATGTTCAAATACGATAATGATAGTAGTTTGGCCCCAATTTCAATTGGAACTTCGCCATGTAAGAAATTTTTTGAGATATCCAAGTGTGATAAACCAATAAGTGGAAGGAAAGATAATAGGTCCCCAGAGAGAGTTGTTGCAAGATTTAAACTTTGTAAATTTGTGTTGTTTTGCAACAACCAATTTGCGAATTCCCCTGTTAAGTTGACATTAGAGATCAACATACTGCAAGTCGTGTTGGTGGTAGAGAAATTGAGGAATTTGTCCCGCATCTCCACAACAAGATAAATTGATCTATTTCAGCTGAAACCTTTGGACCTAAGATTGCATCTCGATTTCAACATATATGGTATTTTTGTCCGCTTGAAAATGCTCGAGTTCTGAAAGGTTGAAGAAGGGCCCCAGTGAGCTTGGGATTCGAAAATAATCGTTTGAAAGTCTCAACAATTTCAGGGATGTCAGGGACTTGAGAGCAGATACATCTCCAGAATGTTGATTGGAAGAGAGATGTAAAAGTTTCAGAGATGTAAAATTGGAGAAGCACTCTGGTAAGTCGCCTTTTAGATTATTGCTGCTCATATCCAATGCTCGGAGATTCGTCAAACTACAAAACCCCGCAAAGATTATATTATAGTAATAAATAAATAGAGAGAGTCCTACGCAAAGAACCAGAAACAACAACAACAAAAAATATATAATATATTTCAATTGTCTTCATGCCTTGCAAGGAAATCATCAAAGATCGTAGTGTGTATAGGAAAGTTTTAAAGATAATTAGAGTTATATATTTTACCTTGGCTAGGTAAGGTGTCATTCAGTCCAAAACCCTGTAAGCTCAGAACTTTTAAATCTCACAAACCAGGATGAAAATCATGATCCCACACGATTTCGATGGTGAATCGGCGAGAACTATGTGGCCGGAGAAGGCACCGACGATGGATTAAGGTTAAGATTTAGTATTTTGGGTTCTTTTATAATATAAGAAAAGTTAGGTTTTTATTATAAACATAATAATATTTTTAATATTTTTTATAAAAATAAATAAATTTCAAAGTTAGTAGGTGTTGACACGTGACACTTAACGAAAAAAACTAACGGCATTGACTACCTAGGTACCTAAAAGGGTAACGTTTGTAACGGTAGGCTACCGGATAAGTAAAAAAACTTGACACTTATTTGGCAAAAAAGACATTATTATATTATTTTTTTGGCCTAAACGGTTCAACGTTACAATTTTCCCACCAATTGTTCTATCATCCCAATAACTCATCGCCATGCTCTAAACATCTCTTCTTTTCCTCACCTCGCTCTTTACCAGAAAATTTGTCATATTGTTACAATACCAAAACTCGTATATAAATCATAAGTTCCCTCACTTGGCTAACTATTTTGTATATAAATATATGTATGCAACTAGCTATGCAGCACAGCACAAACAAATCAAATACATAGCAAAAATTTAGTTGAGCTAACAACAAATGGTTACTCCTATAATCACAAATGTCGATCCTACAATTACTGGTGGCTCCTCACAAATTCGGTTGCAATGACCTTGAAAAACAAGGCGGTTGCATCACCATCTTCACGACACGATCCCAAAGCTCTAAATAATCGTTAGTTGTTAAGACTTAAATTATCATTCACATCTTTTTGATATATAGACATCACCTTCAGCATCATTGAATCATGTAATATGACCACATCATTGCTGCTGCTACATTGCGATATCCGCCACCACCAACGAGACAACACTACAAACTAAAACATTACGACTAAGTAAACAATCATGAAAAAATTATACATGAAAAATTTATGCACCAGCCAAGACCTTTATAACTTGAAAGATTATCCACAAAACAATCATGAAATAGTGATAAAGACAGTAAAACTGTTGTGGTTGCAAGCTACATATTTAAAACAAATCAATTGAAGTTGCTCCATCAACTTATCAAATACACTATCGACATATCAATTTCAATGAACTTACCATCAGATCCTCACCCAGGGCATTAGAAAATCGTTGACAAACAACCCAAACACCATTCTCACTCTAATTTTAAAGAAACATTTTCAAATCAGATATTTCTTACCTATAAATCGATAGGAGTAGAATTATAAAAACCCATCTTTATCGTCTTCTCTTCTCTGATTCATGATTGTTTCACATGAATGAAGTAGCCTATAAAAGTTTGAGTAATAAATCATTAGAACTTGACTTTGAATTTCGTTAAAAATTGAAATATTAACAAGCTTCCATCACCTCTCACCTATAGAAAACGAAGAAGGAAAAAAGGAGGCATTCTGTTTTATTTTTCTAATGAAATAAGGATATGAACGAGATATACAAATGGGTGTTTGTTCTATTAGTGCAATTGAGGGGAAAATAGAGAAAAATAATGAATCAAGAGTGAAATCTTACTCATTGTGTCGCCGATTAAAGAAAATTTTGATGGTACCGCCGGCGAGGAGAAGAGAAGGCAGCGAGGAGAAAAGATGGCAAGATGGTACTGTCGGTGAGGAGAAGAGAAGACAAGATGGTACCGCCGGCGAGGAGAAGAGAAGGCAAGAAAATATTCTTCTGAATGTGAGAAAGAACAGAGAAAGTTTCTGTAAAATGACTTATCGAGAATACAATAGTGAATCATTTTACCACAAAACACGTCCTTTTTCCCTTTGACCCTAAATTGTTTTACATTGACTCATTTTACTTTGCATTGCCAAACACGACAAAACATGAAAAATGTTTTCCGTAAAACATTTTACACCAAACAAACAGACCTAAATGGTAAGATTTCATGCATTTTTAACTATTTCCCAAGCCTCGAAATCATATCAAAACATGCCTAAATATATCATAATTAAGGAAAAGGTGGGTGAGTCCTCCATAATAATAGCCTCTCACTACAAAGCTATAGTCTTCCTTTGCAAAGAATAGGGAATAGACTAAGGAACGGTAATCTAATTTAAAGTTAAAAAAATATTTAAATTTTAAATGATAATTTTTTTAATTAATACTTTTTCAACTAAATGAAAAATATTATCTTTTTTATAACATTTTTATTAATAATAAAAAATATTGTATTCCTCATAATATTTTATGTTAAACAAAAAATATTAAAAAAATAATATTTTAAATTACGCTCAATTAAAAATATTGCGATTTTCTATAACATTTTCGTTTTCTCCTAGTCCCTTAGTCTATTCCAGTGATTGAGGAGACCTTGATTTTAGTGTTGCCGCGTAAATTATGTCATGAAATATTTGGTCTTTCAGTAAGTACCTTTTCATTCAAATTATATTATTATTTGTATTAAATATGAGTTTGTATTTATAAGATTAAGTTCGAATTCTATCATCTTTATTTTTAGTGAATAATCTGTAAATTATCATATAGATTTTAATTGGATCTTAAATATACTCGGACTCTGAACCGAATAACTATCCTGACCTAAACTTTTTTGTATAAAAAAATATATTAACTATTATAATATGCATGCAATATATCAAATAACCCAAAAAAAATGGATCGCTTCTGAAAATCAATCATGATCGCACGGGAATGGAGCGTGGACCTTGTTCCCCTTGTCCCACCAATTCTTTAACTTCAACAGAAGACTTCGACTTGTTTATCCGTTGATTTTTCTATTAAAATTATTACTATTAAATTAATTTAAATAGATTTTATTCTATATACGTTTTTTAAATAATAATCTTTATCAATATATATTAAATATTAGAGTTAGAATTAAATTGATGAATTCTTAAAAACAGAATAGTAAATAGTTTATATTTTGTTATTTTTTATATTAATAAATTTCTCTATGTCCATCTTTTTTTCAATTAAGAGTTTTTTCACATAATTTTTCCTAGTTTTTTTACCATCGTTTCTGTTGTCGGATTGCAATATAGTATTAATGGTTCAGAAATTGAAGTTTGAGAATGAGATTGCAAAACGCCCATTGCCAGGTGGTCAAATATCTCTTGAGATAATTGGTCGTTGGATATGTAAAACAATTCTAGTAATCTCATGTGAACAAATTAGAAACATAAAAGACGTTGAAATTCTTATCCAAAGGTAAATTCCATCTCTCAAATTGTCCTCACGGCTGGCAAGAAAGTGATGAATTTTTTTCTATAACAAAAATTCAACTTTTATTTATGGTGATTCACTAGCTACACTAAAGGCAACAAATCATCAACCTTCATCATCGCAGGCTCAGGTTACACTAAAAACTAACGCTTCTTCCGCTGAGCTCTGCTTCTTCTTCTTGAACCTGAAAACCACGGCCATGGCTTTGTTCAAGCACAAGGATGAATAAACACATAATCTGGGACACAAAACAACACCACAACTGTAGATTTGAAGAGATATGTTTATATATACCTGATATACCCTTTCTTCCTTTGGATTTTTACGTCTATGTTTCAACTCTCCTCTGTTGGTTGTTATCCCATCTAGTATCTCTGCATCATAATAGTCATCTTCAGATCCTTCATGGCGCGAGTTAGATGATTCTTTTTCCTGTTCGCCGGAGTGGTTGCCAGATATCAGTACGTTTCCAACTCATGTATATTTGGTTTTTCATATATTGGAAGAAAAAAACGAAATGTACCTTGATTAAATCGAAGATTCTCCGTGGTGTACCGGAAATCTCTTCATACGTAGCAGAGTCGAGTTCCTGAAGATGTTCACGATTGAAAAGCTTTGGAAAGATGTGCTCTCTGATGGCGATGAGAAGGAAGAATGGCAGCGGAAATAACATCCCAGCTATGGGTATGCATGTTACCCCAAAACATATAATAAGATATACAAATTGGATCGACGTAAAAATCAAGATGGGTTTGAAAGGCACGGACTCCATAAATGATGCATGATCACCTTCAAGAACTCTGTTCAAACATATAAATACCATAAACAAAATCAACCTTAACATTCTATTTATATACTGGTCTATCACCTTATAAACACAGTTGAGATATTTCTAGGTTGCATTTGACTTACTTGTAGCGCCTGCTAGGGGTGACAAAAAGTAGTAACAACCTTTCCCAGAACTGGTTCCCTGGGAGGCTATCAATGGCCATGTAGGCAAAGTAACCCCATAATATTGATGTAGGTATCATTTTTATTACTGGTAGAGCACACATTGAAAGTCCGACGAGGAGTGAGTGCAACAGGTTGCTCAATCTTTGCTCATTAACTCTAACTGGCAAATAAGGATCAATGTCTTTCTCAGGATCAAAATTTTCTTTTGCACCGTCACTTTTCATTACAGCCTCTTTCAGGTTCCTCAACTCATTATCAACTGCACGCTGCAATAAGATTCAGATAATGATGTTGCACTCAATCAGATATGCCTGCGTGATGAATACATAGGAAATGGTATAACCAGTGCAACAACCAATAATACTTAACAGGAGAAGATTGGTCCATTTCTATGAATACGGCTTGCATTCTCCCATAGATCTCTGAGTTGTTTGCATGTTGCAACATGCTCTCCTTGGCAATTTTTACCATATTTTTCCGAATCAACTGCAATAGATTGTGGATTATATAATCTAAGAATCCCTGCTAAAGAGAATCATATAATGATTTAGGGAATAGTTTCTAAAAGTACTGCACAATACACGCCACCTGAGTCTCGAGAACTGAAAGGCTCTTAGTGTGCATAGGAGACTGTGGAATGACCCCATTTGAAGGAGGGAGTCCCAGCAACCCACAAATCAATGTCTGAAACCATGATTGAAATGAATTATTTAAGCCTGGAATTAGATGGAAATATAATTTTGAAAGTATTAACTTAGTAATAGAAAAAGTGAAAGAGGATAAAGAGAGAGAGTATAGGTTATAAGTCGTCAATTAAAGTACCATAACTCCTAGCAGCAAGACATCATAATGATAAGCAGAGGAATTTTTAAGGTTAAACTCTTTCTGCTGCGCCAACTGTGAAGAGACGCTATGATCAAAGAAGTGTACACCAGCTATCATCAATGCAGGTACAATGGCAGCAAATATGTACACTACAGGAACCTTTCCCATATCCTATAATAAGAGATTTGGTATCGTTTAAGGTTATGGATTATAAAGACAATTCAATCGTATATGAAAAAGATTCATAACTTACCTTTATAACTGTCCAGTGAGGCAATGATTCAGGTTCCCAAAGAAGTGGACAGAAAAGCCTCCTGGGAATTCCAGAATTAAATTTGCTTGGTACCGTGTAAGACAAAGCTGTCCAACACAGGACCATTAAGGGAACTCCATAGTCTGCAATAAAACTTCGAAACCAACCTGAAAAACATAGTTTTTTTAGAGATACCAAATAACCAGTTAATCACAGTTAATGAGTAGATATACCTGTTCCATAACGCCACGATCTTGCCGTCCTTGTCTTTAGAGACGTCAATAAAAACCCAAAAGAGAAAATGACTGCCAACAAGCCATTTGTATATAGCCAGTGGAACTGATATTTCTCCAGATTAGGATTTTCACTTTTGGGAATACGGAACTCACTGACCACCCCCTATGACCCAAGCAGTTATCATAATATATAAGGATCAAACCAAAGGATTCTATCATCGTAAACCTCACTTTATTTGATGCATAAGTCATTCAATACCTTGACAGTCTCTTGAATGAAAAGAACGGTTATTAACATGCCAAAAAGATCTCCGGTAAATCTTGTAAATCTACTGATTATGGTGCATGCATTGAATATAGCAAGAAGAATGAGCATCAAAGCTGTCCACATGCAGACCCTGGGAAAGAAAATAAATCAAATAATCAATAACATTTCTGATGCACTAAAAAGTTTGGAAAACATTAAACAAACTTAAACTTATCAGAAACGGAAAAAATGGTTATATCCTTTACCATGCTGCCCAAGCCAAATAGAGTTGCTTGCCCAACTCCGGCCTTTTTTTGCAGAAATTGTACATATAAGTGTACATTATTATCTTTGGCTCTGCAACACCTAATATCAACAAAGGCTGCCCACCTAAAATGGAGTGAATGATACCACAAATAGCTGTAGAAGCCAATGTTTCCACTGGGCTGAGGGAGCCATCTAAGAAAACAAGAAACACAACCTCAACCCTTGATGCTTATTCATGAAAAACCATAAGTATAATGAAATAAGCTTAATACAAATACCCAGCATTAATATTATTTGAAAATAAAATATCTATCATTGCAGTATCTTCTTCCTAGATCATATTGTATATTAAACAGAGTGGAGTACCTGTATCTCGGCTCAGTTGCTCCCCAAAGGCAATAACAGGTAGAGCAGAGGCAAAGGAGATATATGTAGTTGGAGCTAATATCCTGATCGATATATACATCGAAATATGAATCAAAATAAAATAAATGTTCATCAAATGAATATAAACGTGGTGCCAAAAATTTGGAAACAGTAACATACCGATATCCAGAGCGAAATCCATTGACCCAATCTTGCATGTAGCAAACACTTCTTCCCTTGATGTCTTCGATTATCCCCCTGAATGGACTTCTTATGTTCTCCATAACTGATTCAAGAGAAGGGGAAACAAGAATTCATTAATCATATAATTAAACTACATTCTATTAATGACAGTAGCACCTGGTCACCTGTATCCAAATATCCTCTTGATTACGTTAGACAAGACGGCGCTAAGTGTAAAATGACTAGATGAAGTTAGCGAATCCCGTTGTAGCATTTAAGGAGAACATCATGCATGCATGCATGCAGGGATGCATATATGTGGCTTTTGAGAACACACCAATAGAAATGCAACAAGCGAGGGAGTTGTATGATTCAACTGCATGATCAACGAGAGAAGCAATTATCTCAATGAACGAGAATATAAGATGCATCTAAACTGTAATTCACAGGTAATAACATCATGTAATACAATGAATCACCGCCCAAAAGAACACGAAATCTTAATCTTAAAAGACCACAAGATGTTACTCTAAATTTCTGAATCACGTGAAGCATAATATTTTCACTCACACTATCATCAAAATTAAGAATGCAATCGAAATTAATGGCGAAAATAGGTTTCAAATCAATCCGGGCGGTAGATTGGGTAAGCGATGAGTTGAGAGTTCTCTCTTCTCCCCTAGGCTCCGTAAATGAAATGAAACTGATGAATATTAATTCTCAATTTCTTCTTCTTTTCGAGTCTTCCGCGGAGAAGATAAGAGGTGGAGAGCAAATTTATGTAGGTGTTAAAACAACATCGCACAAGTGTTGCGGACCCTTAAATAGTGGTGCCATTGCTGACGTGGTGTTATTTCTGTTGACCAAACCTAGGCGCACTCGCAACAATATGTTTGGGAGTCGGGGTCTTCTCTATTGTAAATAGGGCACAACGAGGAAAATATGATGAAAAATCGATTAGAAATCTACTCAAAATGAATAAATATTTAGTAAAACATTACAAAAGGAACAATGCATATAGCGTAAAAAATTAATTTGATATTTAAAATTATTTGATATACATGTATGTATACGTTGATCAATAATTTTTCTTTTGAAAAATTATAAATTAGTATATGATCGAAAATACTTAAAACCAGTTGACAGTAAATACTCAAGTGAGACCTTTAAAGATAAGGGTAAAGTATACAAATGATCCCTTATCTATAGGGTAATGCTTTATTAAGTCTCTCAACTAGGGCTGTAAATGAGACGAGACAAATAGCGAGCTACTCGAGATTGACTCGATCAAGGCTCGATAAATACTCGGATCGAATGGACTCGACTCGAGTTTTTAACGAGCTGAAACGAGCTATTTGATATTCGATTCGAAAAGCTCGTGCGCAGCTCGAAATTATAATATATTAAGATTTTATTTTATTTTAAATAAATTATTAATAATATTAACATTTATGTATTGATTTTTTTAATAAATACAGTAAGATTTTCATGTATTTAAGGTTCAGGTTCGAGTTTGAGTTTGAGGCTTCAATCGAGTTAAGTTTAAGATTTTTTTTTTCATTTCGAGCCTTTTGGAGCTGCTCACGAGCTTCAGTTCAAGATTTCGAGTTCGAGTCGAGCTTGAAAATTTTAAGCTCGCGAGTTTTCGAGTCGAGTCGAGTCGAGCTCTACAATACTCGAGCTCGACTCGGTTCGTTTACACCCCTACTCTCGACTATTAAAAGTTATAAAATAGCCCTCTCATTATATAGTGTTGCTTTGTTGAGTTACAAAATGGTCACCCATCATGTTCCAAACTCGTCCTTTTCTGTTAATTTTTAACTGTTTCCTGAGTTGAACATGCTGACTGCGATATGATAAAATATGATCTCATAATCTCAAAAGATTATCATATCTTAGCTATCATGTTAACGTTCAGCTTAGACAATCGCCAATTTTTAAAGAAAAATGACGAGTTTAGAACTTAATAAATAGTTAGGTGACTATTTTATAAATTTTAATAGTTAAGAGACTTTACACAGTAACATTATACAGTCTTTTAATATTCGAACAACTTAATAAAACAATACTTTATAATCAAAGATCATTTGTATGTTTTACCCTAAAAATAATAACCATCTATTAACAACTAACATTAAATCCTTATTCTTTCCTGATAATTTATTTCAAATAATATTCATTTGTGTATATATGCACAAACACATGGAGGCTCTATATACGATAAAGGGGAAACAAATACAGAGGAACGAAGGGACTCAACTTATTAAAATTACACTAAATCCATATACGATAATCACACTTTCATGGAGTAAATCTAGTGTTTTCCTTAAAAAAAAAAATGGAGCAAAGCAGTGGGAGTCTGGGAGAGTGACTTACAAGAAGCAGGTGAGGAGAAAATGGCAAAAGCCAAGTTAGGGAAGTGGAAGGAAATGGCTTAAATCTTGATGTGGATGAAGGAGCAAAGGAAAGGTCAAGCTTTTAAACTTTGAACAAAGTGAATTGAAGCAAGAGACAAAGTGGTGTGGCTTGGCTTGGCTTGTCTATCATCGAATCTATTCTATTCCATTTTCAAAACAGAGAAAGTGGCGCTACGATCACACGTGTCATTGCGTCAAGTGTTTATGTTTCGAGTCTGAACACGGAAATCAAATACTATTAACCAGAACAAACATTGGTGCCGCTCCTATCACAACCTTCTATTTGACGAATTGGAATTCGGATTGGATTCGTGCACCCTACGTTATATAGCTTTCCCAGTAATTTAATTTGATTATTTATTCTTATTTTTATATGAATATAATAAGATATAATTATATTAATTTGAATAAAATTCAAATTCGAGAAATAAATGAGAAAGGGTGGCTCATCTGTATCACTCCTTTATTCACGTTGAGAATACAATTCAAAAAGAATAAACAAGCGAATTTGGGAAAGCAGTGTAAAGGGCGGTGAACTGAAATAACGCTAGTTATTGGAACACCACTCATTTGTCCTCTAATGGATAGAATAATCATCATTTTATTATTCTTTTTATATTTATCATACTTATGTTTTCTAAATATATGTTTTTATCTTACATTTAATATTCTCATGTGATGCTTTTTGTCTGTATAAAGTCATTATGTATGATTAAGGTCAAAAAAAAGTCCTAATGTATAATTTAGTGCCATCTATTGTATTAATAATTTAAGAAGGTTAACTTCATTAGCCGACCCTTCTACTACAGGACAAAACAAAAACAAAAGACTCTTATAATAAGCAACGATACCCTATAAGAAAACCATCAATCAGGCACTAGTTTGAACTCAAAAGCATTACATATAAACAAAAGCTAGCTTCATCTGTCACGCAAAAGCATATAAAATTAAGAGTAAATAGCAAATAAGAGTTGGATCGAATATCACGACTCGAATAATTTAAAATTAAAAAAATTCTGAGTCGAATTAAGTTTTACCTATATAAAACAATGCACTTGCTACTCTAATCAAATAAACAAACAGTGGAGCAATGAGCCATCCTTTTCTACCTAAAGACCTGCATTTTAGAATAAAAATAATTCCGGTTTCAGTAAGTGCCTTAACAATGGCAAAAATGAAGATGAAATTAATTTCAGGTCCTACTTGGGAAAACCATAGTTTAAAGGGAATGAGCAGCCGCAGCGTATGTTACAGTTGAATTGAAACTCGCTTCTCTCCATACCTAAAACTGCTACGGAACCTAGAGCCAACATCTTAGTTTGCCACACTATCCAAGAAGCTCTGCAACTCCCTTAAACCCTCGGCAGAAAAGCTCCTCCGCACTCTAGCTCGAGGGGCGATCAAATTTGGGGGTGGATTGGATTGAAAGCATACCACAACCACAGTCAAGTTATCCCCACTTTTCCTCTTCAAAGCTTCATTCACCAGATCCTTACTGCACATGCCCGGATCATTGTGCTCCTGAAGCCTCCGCCTAGCAAAATCGACTGCATTTTTGCTCCGGAAAACATCCCAAACCCCATCACATCCTATGATCAGAAATTCATCCTCCTCGGTTAGATCTGCAGTCATTAGCTCTGGCTCTGCACTTAGTGGTCCACCCTCTGCACCTTTCATTCCTTCCATGTGTCAATCCCCTAATGCAAGAGCCACATTAAGTTTCCCATTAAGGTAACCATCATAAACAGAACCTCCAGATGCCTCAATGCGCCTTCTCTCCCTATTGCACATGGGCTTGTGATCTCTTGACATTTCAATTGCTTTGCCACGACGACATAGAACTGCTCGACAATCTCCAGCATTTGCCACAACCAACATTCTGCATTCAGAATGTAAGTCAAGAACGAACCGTCGAGATCATATCATCATTAGTTAAACTGGATGGAAAAATTAAAGTCTGACAGAAGACTTGGTTATACCAAGGGAGAGAGGATTAAACAAACATAAAAATAGCAAATATAATAGATTCATATCCAATTTTTTATCTTTAATCTACTTAGATTTATAAGCAATGCCTTGCTACAGAATTTAAAGCGCTCATGTTCATATTGTTTAAGCAGATTCATACACACACAAATCTTTACCAACAAATTAACACTACATATCATCACAGAAACAATGCAGTACTGTTATTACTCTAAGCTCGCTGTATCTTAATTGTCACTCTAATAAGAATCAAGTGCAAAACATATGGAAAAAGTAATTCAGAATATAACATGCAACCTTCAACTGAAACCATGGTTATTGGCTTTATTTGAATACTAAATTAGTTTACTGCATGACCAAATAGACATCATTTTTATCACCGGAAAACGGATGAGCAGAATGGATGAGGAGAAAAGAAGTGGGACACATTATCCAACAAAAGAGAGTTTCTTGTAGTAACAGCAGCCTGTTCAAGAAAAAAAGTCTCTGCAATAAAAAAGGTCACCGATATGGCTTGGGCAGCCATCCATGGTTTTTTGAGTTAAGACGCATCAGCAAACAATGTAATTATTAGACAATGCTTCCAGAGTAAAGGCATGAAGGGTATTTTCAACAACAACAAAAAGGCATGAAGGGACGCTTTTGCATTACAAATCAAGCTAAATAAAAGAATAAATCAAATAAAAATACTTTCCATTAGCAGACAATTCTAACCTCCCCAGAACAAGAGCTACCAAAGCAGTGGCACCAGAAGCAAGGTATGAATCCAATGAACAAGCTTTTGCAAAAGCAGTATCAGTTTGAAGAAATGCAGAAGCAACAACCCTCTCAATCTCTTCAGGAAAGTCTTCATCCTCAACAATGAACCTTGGCAAATGATAGCAAGCAAAGTCAGTAGCCTGCTTCCCACCATGTCCATCGAACACCTGGCCACCAAATAAGTTGAAATGGGAACGTTAATCTTCTACCAAAACATAAACAGATGCAAAGTAATCTGGGGCCTCGCTGTCGCCTTTGGCTCGAGCGACTTTTTATCCCGGGAACAGATAGCCTGCTGCCCAAAATCAAGCCCTATCGTGTTTTTTTAAGAAAACTGGGATGCAACTGCGGTCTGGCTCTTTTGCAGTCTTTTGCCTGCAAGGAACTCACCAATTGGATGGAATGGTCTTGCCGGAACTAATTTGTAGGATGGATGCACCGGAGATGCGTTCCGATCAAAATCGGTCATATCCCTATGGTTTATAGAACTTTATACAATCCTAGGTCATCTCCCGGGCATTTTTCTTTCTTTTTACAGGTAAGATCATGTAAGGAAGCACCAAACCTTCTGAGAAACTAATAGAATAGAAGAGTAGCTTTCAATGCTTTGTATATGAAGTAAACTGTTGAGATCTAAAAGAACATAGTTCAAAACCATGATTATAGTGAACAAATATATAATAAATTATTGATCAACTAGCTGAAACGAGATCGACTTGGGTTTTTAACTAACTAAAATGAGTTATTTGATATTCGACTTGAAAAGCTCGTGAACAGTTCGAAAATATAATATATTAAGATTTTATTTTTTTTAAAAAAATAAATTATTAATAATATTAACATTTATGTATTGATTTTTTTTTAAAAATAGTAAGATTTTCATGTATTTAACGTTCAGGTTTGAGTTCGAGTTTTAGTTTGAAGCTTCAATCAAGTTAAGTTTAAGAATTTTTTTCATTTCGAGCCTTTTCGAGCTGCTCACGAGCTTCAGTTCAGGATTTAGAATTCGAGTCGAGCTTGAAAGTTTTAAGCTCGTGAGTTTTCGAGTCGAGTCGAGCTTCATTTCAAAGTTTTCGAGGCGAGTCGAGCTCAGCAATACTCGAGCTCGACTCAGCTTGTTTATACCCCTACTCTCGATTATTAAAAGTTATAAAATGGCCCTCTCAGTATATAGTGTTGCTTTGTTGAGTTATAAAATGGTCACCTACCTATTCATCATGTCCAAACTCGTTCTTTTCTGTTAATTTTTAACTATTTTCTGAGTTGAACGTTAACATGCTAATTTCGATATGATAAAATCTGATCTCATAATCTCAAACGATTATCATATCTTAGCTATCATGTTAACGTCCAGCTTAGGCAATCGTCAAATTTTAAAGAAAAATGACGAGTTTGGAACTTAATAAATAATTAGGTGACTATTTTATAAATTGTAATAGTTAAGAGACTTAATAAAACAGTACTTTATAATCAAATATCATTTGTATGCTTTACCCTAAAAATAATAACCATCTATTAACAACTAACATTAAATCCTTATTCTTTCCTGATAATTTATTTCAAATAATATTCATCTGTGTATATATATACACACACATGGAGGCTCTATATATAAAAATGAGTAAAGATATTAACCAAGGCGGTTTCTTCGAAATTTGCAGGAGTAATGTAGGGGCAGCAGTGCCCATGGCTCTTCGCCATCTTCCTCTTGGTAACAACGTTCTTCAATTCTTCTTTCGCCGATGTCGGCACCGCTTCCCATTACAGCTCCCCATATCTTCGTAAGCGATCATCATATATATGTTACGAGTTTTGGATTTAGAGTTTAAGATTTACATACACATATACATGGTTTTTGGTTGTGTCGGGTGCAGCCGCTGCCTGCTCAGAGAACGAAGACTCCCAGTTTCCGACGAACAGCTTGTTTGCGGCGGCGGAGGATGAAATATGGGACAACGGAGCCTCGTGTGGGCGGCAGTACCTGGTAATGGTGCTACAGTTTTCGGTGGCAATTAAAAGATGTAATGTAATGGTTAGCCGAAATAGTCTTTTATCAAAACGGTGTGAACTATATAAGAGAGATACAACAGTCATTTTTAAAATTATTTTAATAATTTTAAAATATTATCATAATTTTATTTATTCAATCTGATCATTAGTAGTAATTTTCTTCTAAAAGCATTAATGTACGTTGACATATAAAATTATCTTTTGAATAATTCCTTAAGAGGAGAGAGATGACGTCGTTTAGGTTAATTATCAAAACTTGGAAGTTCAGATATCGAAACGACCAAAATTAATAATTTAGGTCCTTAATGCATAATTTACCTTAATTTAATCCGGGTACGATTACAACAACATGTTCATAATATAATGTCATAGTTCATTCAAATAGTTAATTTACCAACAATCAAGGCATTTGGAATTCAAACAATGGTAGAGTAAGACTAATCACATCCAATGAATACTTGAAACATTCTGCTCATCGGTACTCCATTAACCTCATTCTTCGCTTCCAGACTTTCAGATGTAACGGCAGTTGCCATAACCTACACACAATACATACAATCAAGAATATGAAAATTATAAATATTCATACACGATTTTAAGTATTCAATAGTTGTATTTGGCTTACTTGGTTCGACAGTGGTGATTTGACCGGTGCCGGCAAAATCACAGCTGAAATAGCTCTGACCTTTAGTCCGATAGTAAGAATTCATCGCGAATGCTGCATGCGACAGGAGAGTGTTGGGTTCATAACATGCTCCTCCGGGCTGAATCGGTGTGCAATCGATACCTCCTTGGCCACATGCGTAATCCAGGTTTGATTGCAGCTGAGCGTCACTAACATCAACTTTCGGAGCACAGAAGTTCTTGGCCGATGGTGCTGGAGTTGTTGGTGTTGGCGTCGACTTACATATCAAACATAAAATTCAAACAGTCATTAAACTTGAAATTCCACAAGCTTATTAGAATCAATGAAGCGAAAAAAAGTATTGTTAAAAACAAGCTTACCTGCCCGTTGCGTAGAATCCCGACATCATAAATAGGGGACAAGTCGGGATTAATCATTCCCCAGTACTTCTCAACAAGTGGACCCGGTTTTTGGTTCTCGTTAAACAATGCAAACATATATGTCTCAAACGTGCGGTTCGGCATCAAAGGTGTTCCTTTGCCCGAAACAATTTCCTTAATAACATGCCCATTGTAAGAAATTGCATTCTCCAAGGTGGCAAAGGGGCTGGTGGCATCACCTTGTGTAGGCCAACCCGTCTCACCGATGGCAATCTCCACATTTCCATAACCAAGGGCTTTCATGGCTGTATAAGTCGAGTCCATGAGAGCATCAAACATATTGGTGTATGTTTTTCGGTTATATTTGTCATAGACTCCTCTGTTCGGCTTGAAAAGTGCATAATTCAATCTTTCTGACAAATCAGGACTGAAGTAGGGATACGGGTTGACAATGAAAGGTGATTTAGTCCGTTGGTGGAATTGGAGTATGGGAGCAAAGAAGCTTTGGTCATATCCAAACATGAAACGCATCAAACTTGGTATTGTTTCCCGTCGGAATATGTTAAATGCATGAGCGGTTGTGACCTACTCAAATACAACACAGAAATTAGAATCATATAGCATCATTCATGTATGTAATCATTGATTTACGATCATCGGTCTGTGTATATATATGCATATGTTCCCTCAAGTTTGAATAGAAAATTGGGTCAAGGCAAGTAAGGAATTTTCATTGCTCTAACATGTAAATAAAGAATAAAAGTAAAGAATATTTGTTGTTCTCATACTTTTTGAACCATTTAAGAAGAAAAATTTTACGATTTTAGCGAGAAGCATGAAACACATAATATTTTCTATGCAATCTTGAAATGTACGACGTCAAATTGGTCACCTATGATCCAGGGAACTTAATCTATCAGGAAATGACCAACTATATATTATATTTTAGTTCCAACATGCCCCCTAACACACAATAAACAAACCGGACAAACGGCTAATGGGCGAGCACATGAACTCAAGTGTAGAATAAAAGTGTAACCAAAGATGGATTAAGCTCATCGGAATATTCAACCATCCAATTTTAACGACTTTAATCTAGTTGTCATAGAGGAGAGAACAGATGATAATAAAAGGAAAAACATACTATTTCAAAATATAAATGAAGCATTTATCTAACCTTGATTTCTGGAAATCCAGCTTTGACCAAGGCATAATGAAGATTCCTCATTGCCGGCACAAGGTTATTAGTCCACTCATCATTTTTCCAGAACAAGACTTCAGTACCAACAAATACATATTTGATCTTCGTCTGAGGATGAAACGGGCTTATGTGTTGCTCAACCCATCTTCGTGCTGTGACGGTGTTGGTGAGACCAGGAATATCCCCATTGCCAATCGTGATGGAAACCGAAATATTAGTGTTTGCAAAAGCTTGCAGGACATCGGGATTAGCGTCAAACAGTTTGACGCTGTCGAAAATAGTTTGGGTTTTAAGGAAGTTGGCAACCACAGAGGGGCTAGGAAGGTTGTCTGCAGTCATGCCATAGTTCACTCCAATGCCGTTGATGTTCGTGAAGAGTTGGAGGAGTATGCCGACAAGGAGAAATACTGAAGCCATGGTTATGGGAGCTACTGAAACGAAAGATGATTGTAAAAGAGAGAGCTAACGGGAAATCGGTTAACGTTCAACAAATATATAGCTAAGGATCGACCAAGTGATAAGAAAAGCTAGATTCTTGGAAAGACTTGTTGGTAAGAAAAGCTAGATTCTTAAGATGTTTCAAGTAAACCCCTTGCGGAACAAAGCAAGCATAGCGGTTAAGTTAAACAAATTGCAGTCTTTGAAATTACTTGTAAATATTGCTATTGAACTTAAACAGCACAGCGGTTTTATGCTCGCCCGCCAGAGTTCGATCCGACTCGAACCTATGAGAAACAAATTTCAATATAGCTCAAGAAAATGGTAAACAAAAGAAAGCAAAACACTTAATCATACACTTTATGTTAGAGCACAGATCTCTACAATTAACTTATAAATCAGCTCAACTAAACTTAATTAGAATGTCATAATCAATCTTAAACCGTATAACTAGCTCAACATCTAAATCTACTCATCTAAAACAAACTAGAGATCTGACGTACTCGAAGCAGGTCATGGCAATAAAAGACGGAAGCAAGAGTTATTAGCTAAAAGTAGTACAGATTAGATTAGTACTTCCCAAAACAGAAACCCACTAAAAAGAAAGAATGAAACAAAGAAGCAGGCAGCGAATCAAGCAAACTAACAAAGGGGAAACAAATACAGAGGAACGAAGGGATTCAACTTATTAAAATTACAGTAAATTCATATACGATAATCACTGTCATGGAGTAAATCTAGTGTTTTCTTTTAAAAAAAATGGAGCAGAGCAGTGGGAGTCTGGGAGAGTGACTTACAAGAAGCAGGTGAGGAGGAATGGCAAAAACCAAGTGAGGAAAGTGAAAGGAAATGGCTTAAATCTTGATGTGGATGAAGGAGAAAAGGAAAGGTAAAGCTTTTAAACTTTGAACAAAGTGCCGTGGCTTGTCTATCATCGAATCTATTCTATTCCATTTTCAAAACAGAGAAAGTGACAATACGATCACACGTGTCATTGTGTCAGGTGTTTACGTTTCGAGTATGAACACGGAAAACAAATACTATTAACGATAACAAACATTGGTACCGCTCCTATCCTACAACTTTCTATTTGACGAATTGGATTCGTGCACCCTACGTTATATAGCTTTTCGAGTAATTTAATTTGAATATTTATTTTTATATGAATATAATAAGATATAATTATATTAATTTGAATAAAATTCAAATTCGAAAAATAAATGAGAAAGGGTGCCTCAACTGTATCACTCCTTTATTCACGTTGAAAATACAATTCAAAAAGAAGGAAGAAGAAGCGAGCGAATTTGGGAAAGCAGTGTAAAGGGCGGTGAACTGAAATAACGCTAGTTATTGGAACACCACTCATTTGTCCTCTAATGGATAGAATAATCATCATTTTATTATTCTTTTTATATTTATCATACTTATGTTTTCTAAATATATGTTTTTATCTTACATTTAATATTCTCATGTGATGCTTTTTGTCTGTATAAAGTCATTATGTATGATTAAGGTCAAAAAAAGTCCTAATGTATAATTTAGTGCCATCTATTGTATTAATAACTTAAGAAGGTTAACGTCATTAGCCGACCCTTCAACTACATGACAACAAAAACAAAAGATTATTATAATAAACAACAATACCTTATAAGAAACCCATCAATCAGGCACTAGTTCGAACTCAAAAGCATTATATATAAACAAAAGCTAGCTTCATCTGTCACGCAAAAGCATATAAAATTAAGAGTAAATAGCAAATAAGAGTTGGATCGAATATCACGACTCGAATAATTTAAAATTAAAAAAAAACAGTCGAATTAAGTTTTACCTATATAAAACAATGCACTTGCTACTATAATCAAATAAACAAACAGTGGAGCAATGAGCCATCCTTTTCTACCTAAAGACCTGCATTTTAGAATAAAAATAACTCTGGTTTCAGTTAGTGCCTTAAAATGGCAAAAATGAAGATGAAATTAATTTCAGGTCCTACTTGGGAAAACCATAGTTTAAATGGAATGAGCCGCCGCAGCGTATGTTACAGTTGAATTGAAACTCGCTTCTCTCCATACCTAAAACTGCTACGGAACCTAGAGCCAACATCTTAGTTTGCCACACTATCCAAGAAGCTCTGCAACTCCCTTAAACCCTCAGCAGAAAAGCTCCTCCGCACTCTAGCTCGAGGGGCGATCAAATTTGGGGGTGGATTGGATTGAAAGCATACCATAACCACAGTCAAGTTATCCCCACTTTTCCTCTTCAAAGCTTCATTCACCAGATCCTACTGCACATGCCCGGATCATTGTGCTCCTGAAGCCTCCGCCTAGCAAAATCGACAGCATTTTGGCTCCGGAAAACATCCCAAACCCCATCACATCCTATGATCAGAAATTCATCCTCCTCGGTTAGATCTGCAGTCATAAGCTCAGGCTCTGCACTTAGTGGTCCACCCTCTGCAGCTTTCATTCCTTCCATGTGCCAATCCCCTAATGCACGAGCCACATTAAGTTGCCCATTAAGGTAACCATCATAAACAGAACCTCCAGATGCCTCAATGCGCCTTCTCTCCCTATTGCACATGGGCTTGTGATCTCTTGACATTTCAATTGCTTTGCCACGACGACATAGAACTGCTCGACAATCTCCAGCATTTGCCACAACCAACATTCTGCATTCAGAATGTAAGTCAAGAACGAACCGTCGAGATCATATCATCATTAGTTAAACTGGATGGTAAAATTAAAGTCTGACAGAAGACTTAGTTATACCAAGGGAGAGAGGATTAAAACAAACATAAAAATAGCAAATATAATAGATTCATATCCAATTTTTTATCTTTAATCTACTTAGATTTATAAGCAATGCCTTGCTACAGAATTTAAAGCGCTCATGTTCATATTGTTTAAGCAGATTCATACACACACAAATCTTTGCCAACAAATTAACACTACATATCATCACAGAAACAATGCAGTAGTGTTATTACTCTAAGCTCGTTGTATCTTAATTGTCACTCTAATAAGAATCAAGTGCAAAACATATGGAAAAAGTAATTCAGAATATAACATGAAACCTTCAACTGAAACCATGGTTATTGGCTTTATTTGAATACTAAATTAGTTTAGTGCATGACCAAATAGACATCATTTTTATCACCGGAAAACGGATGAGCGGAATGGATGAGGAGAAAAGAAGTGGGGCACATTATCCAACAAAAGAGAGTTTCTTTTAGTAACAGCAGCCTGTTCAAGAAAAAAGTCTCTGCAATAGAAAAGGTCACCGATATGGCTTGGGCAGCCATCCATGGTTTTATGAGTTAAGAAGCATCAGCAAACAATGTAATTATTTGACAATGCTTCCAGAGTAAAGGCATGAAGGGACGCTATTGCATTACAAATCAAGCTAAATAAAAGAATAAATCAAATAAAAATACTTTCCATTAGCAGACAATTCTAACCTCCCCAGAACAAGAGCTACCAAAGCAGTGGCACCAGAAGCAAGGTCTGAATCCAATGAACAAGCTTTTGCAAAAGAAGTATCAGTTTGAAGAAATGCAGAAGCAACAACCCTCTCAATCTCTTCAGGAAAGTCTTCATCCTCAACAATGAACCTTGGCAAATGATAGCAAGCAAAGTCAGCAGCATGCTTCCCACCATGTCCATCGAACACCTGGCCACCAAAGAAGTTGAAAATGGGAACGTTAATCTTCCACCAAAACATAAACAGATGCAAAGTAATCTGGGGCCTCGCTGTTGTCTTTGGCTCGAGCAACTTTTTATCCCGGGAACAGATAGCCTGCTGCCCAAAATCAAGCCCTGTCGTGTTTTTTAAGAAAACTGGGATGCAACTGCAGTCTGGCTCTTTTGCAGTCTTTTGCCTGCAAGAAACTCCCCACTTGGATGGAATGGTCTTGCCGGAACTAATTTGTAGGATGGATGCACCGGAGATGCGTTCCGATCAAAATCGGTCATATCCCTATGGTTTATAGAACGTTATACAATCATAGGTCATCTCCCGGGCATTTTTCTTTCTTTTTACAGGTAAGATCATGTAAGGAAGCACCAAACCTTCTGAGAAACTAATAGAAGAGTAGCTTTCAATGCTTTGTATATTAAGTAAACAGTTGAGATCCAACAGAACATAGTTCAAAACCATGATTATAGTTTAAAACAAAACAAGCACAGGAGAGGAGTAAAGCCTAAAGGTACATACCCCATAAAAGGCACGGGGCCCATCAGCAAAATTCTTGAGACCGAAATCATGCATAAAATCATCAACACACAGATATACATCTTCCATGCTTGTTCTAAACCCTATCTCAGCCCATGCTCCAGAACGGACAACAGGGATGAACTCAGCCCCATGTCCATTTCCAATAGCAATATCCAATGCCTTTGACTTCACCTGCTAAAATTAGAATCATAAACAAAAAAATCTTATCTCCATAAAAGACAACACGTGTAGACATTTCATCAGACGATAACAACTTGTAGAATTCTGAAAACAACTTGCAACAAATATGGTTCCTTCAAGGTAATATTATTAAGAAAGAAAGAAAATTGCCAAGCGTGGCAAATACTCTTGACAATCTACAATTTTTGCTTCCAATGAAAAGCCCTTCCATTTACTTCCATTCAAAAGGTAAAGCTTGGAGAATCGCATATATGATCATTCTATGCAAGACTATACAAGTAAACCAAAATAAATAAACATAAAATCCGGTAATTTAACAGAGAGCACAAACTCCTTCACAAGAAAAAATAACCGCCGATTAAAAATACGGCCTACCAACATAAAAAAAAGGAGAAAGAAAAACTCACAAGAGAGGGGTGTCGTACGAGGGACTTCTTACAAGGCTTCAAAACCGCATCACCGTTGGGACATTGCAGCTCATACGACGGCGTACGAGGATGCGGTGGCTTACCCTCGCTGGTGCTCGCATTATCTAGACGACCAAATTCGTTGTTTCCCTCCATCATCACATTCTCCAAATTCAACCCAGAATAACTTCCAACAAAATCTTAACCTCACTTCGATCTCGAGTCAACTCTGCTCAAAATTCTTAAAACAACCAAGCAAATGCAAAAACAACAACTAGGTAAATCCCGTCAATGAGTGTTGAATTTGCCCCCAAATCCCAATTACGAACAAATATAAACATATTAAATAACAACAGATTCTATCGAGATTTAAAGGTTTTCAATAGTAGGGTTTAGAAAATGGGACTAAAACTAAATTAGGGTTTAGAAAAAGGGAGGAAAACAAAATTATACGGTTATTTTTCCCCTATGCGTACAGAAGAATAGAGAGAAGCTTTGGGCGAATCAGTCGAGAGCATCAACAGAGGACTCCTTTTCAGCTGAAAAAGCTGAATGGTCGGTTCTTAAAGCCAAGCGGTGTGACCTCCTAAACGATGTCGGTTTAGCAATTTTTGTGATTCGGATTTGCGGATATCATTTTCTTTTAGATTCCCCCCCCCCCCATTTTCCATGGATTTTACATTTATGCTATTTATACAATTAATTAATTATCTAAGTTTATTAAATGATTGTAATGATTACAATGATCTACTTCATCTCAGTGATTTAAATACAAATTATGATTTTTTTTTAGAAAATAAGACAAAATCATATGTAGTTTTAGATGTTTAAAAAATAATAATCAATTATTTTATTACAAAAACTTTATCTTGAATACTAAATATTCCCATTAATTCCAAATACAGCCTATAAGATAACTATTACGAAAGATTATTTATTTATTTATTTATCTATCTCTTATGTCTTTCTTTTAGTTTTTTTATACTTTTCAATGTTGACGTGGATATTAGTTTTGAGTTAGTTGTTTATTTTTATTTTTATTTATTTTTCCCATTTTTATTATATTTTTTTAATTTTTTTCATAATAACTA